GTTGATGGTTTCTGTTCTTTGTAGGATGACAGCGTACTTCAACCAGACAGGTTGGCCAGCAAAAGCTCCAAGCAGTGGAGAAGAAAGAAAACAATTTATAGCTTCTCTCCATAAGAGGAAGACGGAACTTTTCATGGCCCTTATTGAGAAAAGATTGTTGCCCCTGCGTCCGGGTGTTGCAAAGTTGGTCCCCTTCTGTAACTTATTTATTTATTTTTAATTCCTTCGAATTTGGAATTTAGAAGTTAATCAGAAAATCCTTGGTTTGGTTAGAACTTATCGTGCTGCCTTATCAGTCATGACACTAGTCACCATTGTTTTAGATATCATATTTTCATGTTTTATGTTGTAAGATAAAGATGTCCCAGATTTATCATCGAGAAAAAAATTACTCTTTGTCATATCTTACTGGGTGTTTCTTTTATCAAACATACAGGTTGATTGATCAGGCTTTAGCTCAAGGAGTCAATGTAGCTGTTTGCAGCACTTCTAATGAGAAGGCGGTATGCATAATCAGGTCCATAATCTCCTATATGATAAATCCTTTATGACTGAAGGGAATGCTGGTCCCTTAATCCTTCTTATACGGTTCAGTTGAAATTGCTTAAGTAGCCTCAGGGGTCTAGCAGATTTTTGTATCAGGTACTATATGTAGAATATAGTTATGAAGAGCATGTTTTGCTAGAATCAATAATTTATAACCTTCCCGTTGTTTACATTAGTTATTGAGTGAACCATACGATACGAGTGATTGGATCTACATATCATATTAACATATGTTCAAATTATTTATTGATTATTACTATTTTGAGACCTAATCTGTACGTTGATTTTAGGTTTCTGCAATAGTATCAAACTTGCTGGGTCCTGAAAGAGCAGAAAAAATCCAGATTTTTGCGGGAGATGTGGTTCCTCGCAAAAAACCTGATCCTGTAAGGTTTTCGTCCCCTTAATTTCGCATAAGACAGTGGTACATAACATTTAGACATATAAAATCCAACGTCTATTTAATTTGAAGTGAATAAAAAGTGGAACTTTGGTTTCTTAAGCCCAGTGCCCCGTGCATGAGTACTGCATATCTCTATAATATAGTTTGGAATTTTTCAGTAATGTTGTCTGATGCAGCTTTATTTGGTATACAAACCTCTTACTATATTACTGATATATTCTGTGCATTGTTGTTCTGAGTGATTGGATGTACTTTATGGGATATTCTCAGAGACTAATTGCATTTCGTTCTTTCTGGCAGGCCATCTATCTATTGGCAGCCAGCACTTTGGGTGTTGACCCTTCAAGGTATCTCATAGGAGTACCTAAGTGATAACTTCTGCTTCACTTTCTAGTTTATTATCATCACTCAAATTCTACGGTTTCTGGTAACGTTGAAATACTACTGATGCTTCTCGTTCTGGTAAATTCATATGCAAATAAAAAATAAATAAATAAATGTAACTGATGTCTGCAAGCTGGATGCAAATAGTCCTTATTGACCTTTCACCTTTTTAGGCATGCCTTGTGCATCCACAACACCTTGTTAGCTTATAGTGGCTTCTTGTACATCAGTGTGTCACATTGGAATGTAAAATGACATGCATTTTCCTCAGATGTGTTGTGGTGGAGGACAGTGCCATAGGCCTAGCAGCTGCCAAAGCAGCAGGGATGAAGTGCATAGTAACAAAGAGCGGGTAGAGTACTATTTTATTATGATACTAGAAGCAACCATGTTTACAGTTATTTAAATTTCTACTTTGCAGCAATAGCAATAATAAGTCTTATTTCACTATATAGGATTGTTACGCATAGTGCGTTACATGAAAATTCTTATCCTTCCTTCTAAATGATACTACCATATCACGTTGAATTCCATGCTAAAGCTTGCTTACCCTGTGAGTGCAGCTACACAGCAGATGAAGATTTCCTAAGCGCTGATGCTGTATTTGACTTCATTGGGGACCCTCCTGAGGAGCGATTTGACTTGGCATTCTGCGGAAGTCTTCTTGAGAAGCAGTATGTGAGCTAACAAAAGTGTCCTCGGACTAGCAATTTGCGTCCTTTGTGCCTGTTTGGATAGGCACTTATAATCAATTGTGTCCCTAAATCGATTTTCCATCCTAAAGCGCCGTTTTCTGCTAAGCAGCATGGAGTAGCTTTTGATTGTTTCTGTTAGCCTCATTTATTATGTGTCCGAATCTTCATTTCCCAAATGTACACGTGTGCGCTCTTAACTTCTCTCTAAATCCCACAATGCATTTGGCTCGCCGTCCTCCCATTTGATAATTTCTCTACAGCGAATGGGTGCATTGCTCGCCCTCCTCCCATCTCTTGCTATTGTTCCGCCTTCAGACTCTCATTTTTAAGCCTCCTGCAACAATTTGGGGTCTTATAAGATAATTCCAAGATCCCACCTCTTAAATAAAATATGATATTATAATATTTAGTACTAAAATTATAAAAGATTTTTCTATTTTTAATATGATTTGTAAATATAATTTAATTTTGGTAGGGATAGACGGCACGTATGAGGAGAGATTGAAGTGGACGGATAAAGCGTGAAGTATTAATACTAATATAATTTAAGTTTCTATAATTAATTAAATATAAGTTAAATAATATATTTTATTTCTTAATTAAAGTTTAACAAATTTAATATTATATACAATTTTATTAATAATTTAATTTTAAAAAGCAATATCTTTTATGATAATTTGTATAGTTAAAATTAATTCTCACTAAATTATTTAAACATCTTCAATTATATTAAAATTAATTTTTAAAAAATAATATTTAAATAAATTACGTTATAACATAATTAATTATAATTAAAAGTAATTATATTAATCAATTATATTGGATTGAAATTCAAACGGGCTCTTTGTTTATTTTAATATTAATGTGACTCGCCCTTCATATTACCTTTTCATTACAACATTTAAGTCAGATATGATGAGCTCATGATTTACCCTGTAAAGAGGCTTCCTAGTTTCTCAAGATCTTGTAAACACTATATTATCCTTGTGCAAGAATTCCTGCGTGTGGAACAAAAACAAGCAAAAATAATTGCTACTCCATATTTCTGTTGACTCTTAAAAACCAATAACTATTGGAAGGCATGGTATGATAAAAGGCTTAGACACTGGTAAATTTTGAGATGTGATTAGTATTTTGTACTCTTACTTCTAGATATATTTGTAACATGTTATCGTTTTTTTTTTAAATAAATAAGCTCAAAGGTATTAGTATCGACATGGAAAAAAATATTTATTTACCATTATAATCTCATTACAATCACTATTCATCTTTCGAATCATAAAAGATTTTTATCTAACATTTGGAATCCTGGTCAATCATAACTTTTAGTGAAATTACGAGACATTCTCTCAGGAAAATAAATAAATTCTTGGCAAAATATAAGTGATTGTGATTCTAAATGTGCATTCATACTGAGAAATTTTATGACAAAAAGTTAATCTAATACAAAACGGCCATCTTATATAATTACAGAAATAAAATAATAATTAACAAGTTAAATTTACACTGAGTTTTTTTAAACAGTAGAATTAAGAACTATGGTTATTTTTTAAAAAATAAATAATTTTTTTGCCGTGAATTAATATTTAATATATGCATTAAATAATGCTTCGGGGGGGGGAAGATTCCAATAAGAGATAATACTTTACTGTTGACGTCGTGGTGGTGGCGGCGGCGGCATCGAAATATCTAAAAGCACAAGTTTTCTTGGCCCAAAATACACTTAAAACTCTGTTAGAACTGTACTGGGCTATATTTCACCAAAAACCATAAACAGTTCTTCACAAATAACACTTAATTGGGCTACAGATTATGCATGAGCCTCTGTGCGCTCAACCAGCACCATTAGAAATGGCAAGGGTTTCCTCACCGTTTAGAAAATTTTGGGGTCTTTCAGGAAAGAAGTCAGGCGATGGAAATCCTGTCATTTACTGTGACCTAAAATATTTTGCTTTCTCTGTAGCCTAAAAAATGTGTAGTGTGTATTTGATTTTTACTTTGTTAAAAATTTATTTAATAAAAGTTAGTTGTTATAATAAAATTTGTGTTTGAATAATTTTTTTAAAAGTCAGTTTGATAAACTAAAAATTATTTAAATTAATGATAATTTATGCTTTTGAAATGTAATTTTAAATATACAATGACTAAAAAAGATATTAATTTATGATAATTTATAATTTTTTTATACAAATGTAATATATTAAAAATGTTTAAAAAATGTAAAAATTTTTAAAATAACATAAAATTTAATATGTTAAATAATAAGAATAAAAGATATAAATTTAATATTGGAAAAATTATATAATAAATAGTTCAATATTTATTAATATTAAATGATTACATGATTAATGGTTTGATCTATAATATATCATCTGATGTCTAATAGAATTAAAAACATTATTTATTTTTCTCTTAGACGTCACACTTGAAATTATACTTAAAATTAATGATAAAAATGTATGTTCATTGATATTTAACCTATGGTTTGCATTGCATTGAAGGACAACATGGTTAATAATAAAATGAGTTTTAATATCTTTTTCAAAGTGCTTTTAAAAGCTCTCAAATTGTAAGTTGTCAAATTCACATTTAATATTTTTTTCAAAGTTTTTTTAGAAAGTTTATTTATATTTGTTATAACTGCCTAAATAATATTTAGTATTTGAAAAGTAGGGAAAAACTTTTGAAACGGGGAATGTAACAAAATCAATGGGGCATAGTTTGACCCCAAGATAATAAAATAGTGGAATTCAAGATTCTTGAAAAAGAAACAGGGAGGGGGGGAGAGAATTGTCTTTTCTCCTCTCTAAAAGAGTGCAGAGGAAGAATCATTATAACCTTAAAATGTTAAATTAAATTTAATAACTTAAATTTGATAATTTTTAAAAATATAAATTTAATTTGAACAATTAAATTTTCACTAAAAAAGCAGTAGAGAAAAGCTATCTAAAAAAATCACACTTGACAATAGCTATTTATTCAGGAGCTCGTACCTGTCTCACAGACACAGGCATAGTGAAAAGTAGAGAGGATGAAGCGATTCTTTCAACCAGTGCAGAAGGATGGCACTTCGAAGAAGCCTTCTCTTTCGTTTTCAGGGGGCGATGGTGAAAGTACAGAAACATCTGGGGAGGAGAAGAAAGAGCCATTAAAGTTCTTGACTTGGAATGCTAATAGCCTTTTGCTTCGTGTGAAGAACAATTGGCCCGAATTCACCAAGTTAGTCACGAGTTTTGACCCTGATGTCATTGCAATACAGGTGTCTCTTTCTCTAACACTCATCATACGCGGGATATCGAAAATTTCCCCTTGTAATATTGTCTAGAACTCGAAAAAAAAAATGATGATTGTCATTGCCTTTGTTATTTAGCAAGAAAATAGGTATTCTAGCTTCTGGATCAGCAAGAAGTTTGTGATCTCTTATGTTTGGCGCTAAAAACAGCAATGCTTTTCGTTTAATTTGTAAGAGATGTCTGTTTTGTTGTAATGTGATTGAAATAGCGTCGTAGTCCTTTGGAAGTTGATAACTTTATTGCAAACACTCTCAAGCATGAATGTGATCCAGCTTTAGTATGTTGTTTAATGATCCAGCAGATGCTAGCTTGCAGTTGATTTACCAGAGGTCATCAGCCATCGTAAACGTGCTAGATACTACTTTGCTTTGTTGAACATCGTATTCATGCTTCTAAACTTATTAACTATCATATAAGAATTCTCTAAAAGCAGTTTATCATTAGGAAGTGAGGATGCCTGCTGCTGGTTCAAAGAGTGCTCCAAAAAATCCAGGAGAGTTGAAAGATGATACAAGCTCCTCCAGGGAAGAAAAGCAGGTTATTTTGCTGCAAATTATGCTTATAAAACGTTTCTTTTTGTGCCTAATTATATTCTGGAATTATTATGCAAGTTTTTTTTGTTGATATCAGTAAATGTTATTCTTATTGACCTACTAACTTATTCTAGTCAGTTTTGGTTGGTAAATAATTGGTAGAATTGATTAATGATGAAATATTGGGCTGGGCACCGATGAATTTTTTTCTCCTATCAAGTTTTGTTCTCTATTCTCCCAATTTCTAACTGATTTTCACCGCTATGAAGAATGGATTTCCATCCTTTGTCCTGCATCAGAGCATGTCTTAGTTCTTATGTGAATATGAAGTAGTACGGTAAAAGTATGCAGCTGATCTATGTATGTCTTGAAAGTTAATGAAGTAATGTTGAACTGTGCTACCGTGGTCATAACCATATAGCCTCATATTTCTTCTCTTTCCATGAATAGTTTGGAATTTTTGTTGTGGCAATTATATCTAACTCATTCAAGGGCCTAGTTTTATCTGGGGTTTCTCTTATCATAATATTCGTTGCTTCTTTCACCTCAGTCAGAATGTTAAGCAGAGTCTTTTTCAGTGCATTTATTTGTTCCTATTATTATGTCTTTGTGATATCCTGCAAAAAGCATAGTCATCTTAAGTGTTTTTTGGTCGAAGTTGAACATAAATTGGTTACTTGTAATTATAATAAAGAAAATTTCCTCATTAATATTCATTGACTGGTTTTCTAAACAACATGTATGCAATGCTGTGCATGAGCGTCATTGATACTGCAGAATATTTGTAAATCAATATTCTCATATAATATTATATTGATGTATTCATGGCATTACTTTACAATGTTCTAGAACATATATTTGCTCAAACTTTGCAGATATTGATGCGTGCACTTTCTAGTCCGCCTTTTGGAAACTATCGTGCATGGTGGTCTCTTGCAGACTCCAAGTATGCAGGGACAGCACTCTTCATAAAAAAGTGCTTCAAGCCAAAAAGTGTCTTTTTCAATCTTGATAGAAAAGGTATTTGCTTCAGTTTTTCTTAATGACACAATTCTTTTCTAGCTTTCATGTACGGATATGTCAAGCATTCAAAAGTTAGATATGAATTTTGTTAGATCTGAGCCATGCGATGATTAGAATATGCTTGTGGGTGGTTTAAAAAGAATCTAATGCTGGATATAATTTGTTGTGGGCATATTATTATAGTAATTTGGTTCTAATAATCTTTTGTCTTTTTACACTTTTAGTCACTTCTCATTCAGAGTGAGCAACTCAACTTGATTTTTAAAAATGATTTGAAATGATTGTTTCATATATTAAAAATAGAGTTGGCATAGTTACTGATATATATTTCCAACTTTTATGATGGAATTTGAGGTATGTGTTTTCCTTTACTGCTTATAGAATCATACTCTTGTGTGTGTTGGTTAGCTTCAAAGCATGAACCAGATGGCCGAGTAATCTTGGCTGAATTTGAGACACTTCGGATATTGAATACATATGCACCAAACAATGGATGGAAAGAGGAGGAGAACTCTTTTCAAAGGAGAAGAAAATGGGACAAAAGGCTTCTGGAATTTGTTACACAGTATTCTGATAAGCCTTTAATATGGTGTGGCGATCTCAATGTCAGGTGGGCAAATCTCTATTTTTCATTCTTCCAGCTTCTCATATTCAGTTTGGCTGTCTTGTAGCAATTAGTCTATCGTCTTTGCATAGCGGTAGAATTTTGGTTGCTATAGTTCGAGCTTAGCTGTTGGTTGCACATTTTCTTTCTGTCTTTCAGTTTGACCATTCACTCCATGAACATGGTGGACATCTAAGGGTGTGGAGTTTGGAGAGTTTTGTGATGTTTTAAGTTTAATTTGAGGGAGCTGAATGCATTTTATCAACTCATCTGTCTGCCTACATTTGGCTTTTAATGTTCTTTCAAATATAGTTAGTTCCTTCTGACACAAAAGCAATATAATTTTTCTCTCAGTCATGAGCATGCTATATATTTTATTGAAACAAACAAATGAATATTTTTTGGCCTTATCTGGTGAAGCTATCTTATTTTGGAGGCCTATTTTATACTTTTATGGAAGTTGTTTGGTCCAGATTATTCTCTGTCGTTTAGTGAATCATCATACTTTTAAAGATCAGATTTCTTTATTTCCCTTCTCTTCCCTCTCATTAATTCATTGTCTGCAGTCATGAAGAGATTGATGTGAGTCATCCAGAATTTTTTAGCGCAGCAAAACAAAATGGCTATGTTCCACCAAATAAAGAGGTCTTTGCAGTTCACTCTCAAAGCTCTCTTTAGTGTAAATTTATCTCTTTTAATTTAAAATTATTGTCATATTTTTCTTGATGACTGAAACTAAAGAATTAAAAATGTATTGATGTTTCAGAATGAGACATCAATTTGAACCACCTAAACTTTTTGTATGTATATTTCACACTTCGGAAAAAACTAAAGATTATTCGCCTCATGTCTGCTGTTGTGACTTGTGAGGTCACTATTTGAGTAATGAGTTTTCTTGTCAAGTTCTAATTACAACAATTGGCTCTTACATTTGTTTTCAATTTTTGCCTTTTTACATCAAATAGTGTATTATAATTCTCTGTTCTACTGATAGCAGTTAATCATCTGATGATAATCTCTATGCAGGATTGTGGGCAGCCTGGATTTACCTTGTCTGAAAGAAAGCGATTTGCTACTATCTTACGAGAGTGAGTGATCTCATCAAAGATATCTGTCGTTCCTTGATCAAAGAGTGTTGTCTTTGTGTTTTTTGGTGAATGGAAGAGTGTTATTGAAGATGTCTTTTCCTCCATTCTTTCTCATCGTTCTCTCTCTATTTTGCGTGTGTTAGAGAGAGGGGGCTCCTCATCACCTGATTTTGTTCTTAGGCATAAATTGGTACATAATTCAACATTTCCTGGCATATCGTCTCCTACCAACACTTAAAACTGTGATGTGGGTGGCTTGTTGCCTTCATTTTTCTGTCGCTGATAGCCTTATAACTTTATGACAAGTTCTTTTGGATTCATTTAGTGCCTAATATTTTCGACCTTGATTAAAAGCATATCAATATTTTCCTTTATAGAATTGACCATAATGTTTCGAAACAATTTTTAGATCAAAAAGGTATTGAAAAGGCTTGAATTTAAAACTTATTATGATTTCTAGCAATGGAGCTATCTCTCATCTAGCAACTAAAAATGGTTCTTAAACGATTCATTTCAATGAGCTGTTTCTCGTGAGAATGCGTATGGCATCACCCCAAGGGTATGTTACATAGTTGAACTACCATAATTAAACGTGGAGATCCAATGAAAATAAAACGGTGTTAGGAATTTTTAGGATAGCCATATCCCAAGAGCTGGCTCATGAGGTTCGAGATCACAAGGCCTGTAGAAACCTTGCACCTGAATTTCATACTTCCAATATGGGATTCAAGTCCTATGCCTTGCAATTGATCCTAACAATGCCAAGCCCTTCACAGCTGATACCCATAGTGGCTCCATTCTAGACAGCTCATCTTATCATCTTGTCAGTTGCAGCCCTCCCAGGGAGCCCTTTTTGTGCTCCACTCTTGGACTCTTGGTAGTGTACTTGGCCATGGTGGCTGTCACAACTCTCCAAGATTTCGATATCTCTTTTCATTTTTGGCATGTGAAGAAATGATATCAATCTCATTGGAGAGACAAGGGTCTTTGTAGATAGACCCTACATCAGAAACCCAATCTTCTACCACGAGACTCAAGTCACGTACCATACAATGAATCCTAATAGGTGAGATGAGTTTTATGTTAGGGGCAAGAAAATGCTAGCAAAAACAATTTAAGGGAAAAAAGATGTGGGGAGTATGTACAACTATCTCTGGTAGAATAGGAGAAGTTGCACCTACCTTTGTGAATTTTAAAAATATTTTCCTCGAGTTCCAGACTAGATTATCAAGCCTACTTCTGCTGAGTATGACAACACATAACAAGGAAAAATTAATAAATAATAAAAGAAATGGAACTGTGAATTACGGCCAACTTCTCTCTGCTGATAATAATCTCCCCTTCCCCCCCTTCTCTTTGGCAACAGCTTCTTTTATTCCTTTGTTTTCAACTTGATATTATTCTTTATTTTTTTTTCAAAAATAATAGCTGAGATTTTGGAGCATGCTTCAGGGGGAAACTGGTGGATGCCTATAGATTTCTGCACAAAGAGAAGGACATGGAGCAGGGTTTCTCATGGTCTGGAAATCCAGTTGGAAAGTAAGATTACTATTTCTTGTCCGGAATTACACCCTAAAATTTGGTTATCAAAATTAAACCTGGATTAAATATTATGTTGTACTGCTGAAGCAATGCATCAAAATAATTGAAAAGGTCCTTTTGTCTCTTGGTCATTTTCTTCTTTCCTTTGTCTTTACGGAAATACGTCTCTGCAAGTGATTTGTTGTGAGTTGAAAATTTAGAACATGGGATTTTTTTTGTAAATGTTTATTTTTGTTACTTTGACTGAGACCTCTTGGTGATCAATATTCTCAAAGGCTTGGTTGATAATAGAGTATAATAGCATCATGCAATTCATGTAGTCAATATTTCCTAGTGAAATAAAGCTTGTTGTTATTGTTGTTGTTATTTACTTTTGCTACTTTTGAGTGTCGGATGAATAATCTAATTAGCATCTCCTGCTTTAGTCCTGATGTTTGTTTCTTTAATAGGTATCGTGGGAAAAGGATGAGAATAGATTATTTCGTAGTTTCAGAGAAATTAACAGACAGGATTGTTGCATGTGAAATGCGTGGACGGGGGATAGAGTTAGACGGTGAGTTTCTTATTCATGCACTGATAATGATAATCCCTTTTTGTTTTCTTATTTTGTAAAATTTGAAATTTGAAATTGAAATATTTACATTGTTGAGTATTGAACCCTCCACTAGCTTATTTTTCTGAGTCAAAAATCCTCCATTAGCTTATTTTGTAAATGGCACTGCTGGATCCTTTACTAATTTAAATGGGTCACCAAGAATAATCCTTTTTCTTTTCTCGACTGTTTTTTTAAGCATTAGTTTAAAGATAATTTATGTGGAGTTTTTAATTGCTTACTAAATGATTATCCAATGAAAACATGACACGTAAATATTTTTACTTAACTGTAAAAAAGTTCTCAATGTTATTATTTTACTAACAAGAAAGGGAAGGTTGAAATTTTCCCCCTGGTTTTCTCTCCATTTTGTAATGATAGTTGGATCTGCCACAACATTTTGGAAAAAGGACAATAAAGTCTCAAAAGAAGGAATTAATGACAGTTGAAGTCTCTAACAATTTAAAAAAAAAATAATTTGCAAATATTAATTTAAACCGTTACAAATAGAAATTTTAATTGCAAAGTGGGTTATATTTAGAATTTAAATATTTTATTTATAATTATGTAAATATATATTTATAACTTCAAAAAAAATTATCAAGGATCTATTTATCATTAATTTCTTCTATTAAAACTTAATTATCATTCTCCCCAACATTTTCCTATCTGTGGGACTCTTGGTGCCTAAATTTTACTGATATTTAATAAATCACTCTCTCTCTCTCTCTCTGTCTCTTTTTTTTTTTTTTTTTGAGCCAAACTCTTAAAGCTGCCTGAATTATGTTATTTCTGTAAACCACTGATCATGCTCGTCATGTCTTCAGGTTTCATTGGAAGTGATCACTGCCCTGTTACCCTAGAGCTCTCCCCGAGCCCTAGCTCCCCAAATGTGGATCCAACTTAAACAAATGAAAAAATCTGTCCTTTTTTTTTTCCTCCTTTTTTTTTGTTGAGCCGTACTTTTCCTTTTTCTAAATCTCTAGTGTCTGGACTCTGACTATTTTGTTAATATGAAATGCCATTCTTCATTATACTTCTCCGAGTTGAACCATCTTCAAATGCTTAAAAAGAACAATCACAGTATGTATTTAGTTGCTTTACAAAACAGAAACCTGCTGATAATGATCTGACTGCATTTACGATTTGGAATTCACAGGCCATTTATTAGGCTCGTAAATTCAGGTGTCAGATTTTTTTTTTTTTTTGGGGGACCTAACATTGATGGGAGAAGAAAACTATGTAAGGTGATAGTCTCCGAGTAATGTGATTTTTTTTTTTAAATAAAAAAAATGCACATTTGGAAGTTGAATCTCTATTCATGATTGGGCTTTCGCTTCATCTTCAGCAAAGAGGATTTTCTTCATGTTGAAGATTGTGATAGCAGTGATGTGCTATAGAGATTTGTTTATCTTTTGCATATTGTGATATTAAATTTATGGATTTTTTTAACCAATGAAAATGAATGTTGTCTGGTGTGTTCTTTTATTTCACATATAAAAGTTGAGGATGGGGTCGTTTTCCGTAGCTAAAGTTTGAGGCTAATTTCCAAGACAAAACAACTTACTCAAAGACTTTGCTTCCTTGCAATTCAAAAGAAAAAAAAATATTACTCAAAGTTACCATGTACAAAAATTAATACCAATTAAATTGTCAAAATTAATAACAAATATCAAAGGACTAATGTTATTTTTAGCCATATAAAAGGTCAAAATACATTGGCAAAATATAACATTAGTTCCCTAATATTTATTTATAATTTTGAGGTTTTAACTAGTATAAATTTTTATAAGGTATTTATTTATAATTTTGTTGGACATTTTTTGTAATTTTTTTGGCTAACTAACTATTAGAATAATGATAGTTTAATAAAGAAGTAATATTGCACTAATTTTTAATATTTAAGGGATGACATTATACCACTCTTTATTTTAGAATAGTCCACACTTTTAAAAAAAAATTCAAAAATAAAAATATACCTTAACTCGGTAATACTTTTGTCACATTAATTCCATTCCTCTTTCCATAAAACACACATACATAGACTTGAAGCAATTCAAGTATATTCAGATTCATTTGAAGTTTAGAACCTCATCTTCTAAGATTGTGGCCCTTGCCACCTCCATAGGCAATTAGTCAAAGATGTCCGTGAAATTATTTATAAGGGATGGGATGTTTCCATATTGAATATACTTAAAGAGATCATCAGATGTGCGAACTACATTGTGCGAAATGTTCATGGAGCTGAGGTGGACAGTTGATTTGGTTTTGCTCCACTAACTGTAGAAACCTGCTCTTGTCTGTTGGGAACTATCCCATCTAGTTTTATTTCTTTCTTTCAATCTTGCCTTGCCTTGCCTTGTATCACAAAAAAGTTCCTTGAGATGTACTCTTTGATTATGTCTTTTGGGACATATGGTGCTCTCAATGCAAACAAGCTTTCTTAAAGAAAAAGTAGAGAGGATGGACATGGGTATTGCAGCACTCCAAAAGGTCGACGGATCTGAATAATTTGAAACAGTACTACACGTTGCAACGACAAATAAGGTACAAGCAAGAATGTTGGGTGAGACCAGACAGAGCTGAGGCGAGGCTTGATGTTGATGGGTCTTACAAGGATTGTCTTAGTAAATGTGGAGGAGTAGTGAGAGATTATGAGGCAAATTTGATCTTTGGTTTCAATGCAAATGTGGGCAATTAATTGTCCTCCAACTATCATTGAAGTCATTGGTACAGCCTATGGACTTATAATTATAGTGGCGTTGGGACAGGAATTTGTACAATGTTTAAATCTTTAAAGGTTATGTGGAATCTATTAACTTGATTACTAGATGCGATTTAGTTTACCATCCTTTTAGGGACATTATTAATCAGGTCAGAATGCTTTTGTATAGAGATTGGACTGTTTGCTTGAACTTTATGTACAAAATTGCTACTTTTGGTGTCCATTTTTTGGCCATGCAAGTATGATGGAATTGGGAATTTTAGTATCTTTGATCAATCCCATGAAGGAAAAATGTTTGAGACTGACTAGCTTGTAATTTTTTTTTTATATCACTTCCATTTCCATTTAAAAAAAAAACAAATGAACCATAAACGAAATGTGTTTTTACATTTAAGTGCCATAAATTTAATGAACCTTGGTTGCTCCTCTAGCATTGGAAAAGCCAAAAGCCACAGCCAAATATCGCAGCAGTGTCAGATGGATCTCATTATCTATTATTTATAAATAGTGCAATTTTATGGTATTTTTTAAAATTTTATTTAAGTTCTATTGGCTAGGTTAAATAATGTGTTTTTATGCAAACAAAGATTTATCATTAGGGATCAATTTAGATAGGGTTTAAATTTACACGCGCACACACATAATATTTTTAAGTTTTTTTTTTGTGTAATATCACCCCCAGTATTTTTCAAATAGGTACAATGTAGTATTATTGTTAGTGTTGACAGTCAACTTACTAATTTTGATCATTAAATGCCACGTGGGAGTCCATGTCAGATGTGCCCCATTTTTCATTCAATTATCTTCACAGCCACGTAGTTCATCGTCTTCCCTTTGCCTCACCAGCTTCATCCCCTTCTTCAGCTCAGACCTTACCTTCTGTTCATCTCTTCCCATGCCACCATTGAGTTGGGTTCGCTAGTGATTTCCTCCCACGTCGCCACTGATTTGTGCCCTCAAGTTACAACTTCAATTCAGGCTCATCAAAGGCAACACCATAAAAACTTCTCTCCTCTACCATCAATGAGAGAGAACAAGAAGCAGAGAGGAAGAAAGAAAAAACGAGAACAACAAATGAAGAACCAAAATAAAAATCAACGAACCAAATAAGAAGAATATAAAATCCATTCTTTATTGAAGAAAACTTTTTCGATCTAACAAATCCAAAGTCAAGAAACAATAGTACCCAACAAATCAAGAACCCATCAATTAAAGAAAGTTTTACCACTTAACAGGAAAGAAATTAAACAACAGGAAATCAAGGGTATATGCAGAGATTGAAAAATGAAGAGAAAGGAAGAAAAGAGACGATGACGGCAAAAACCAAAATCATGGAATCAAACCTAAAGAACTAGATTTACAAGTGTGAAGTTGCAGATTCAGAAAGAAATATCAACAACATTTACAAGCATGGAGATTATTAGAATAGCAATCAACGACCAATTAGACATAATCTCCAACTCAATGAAGAAAGCTATGAATGCCACATTGAAAGCATGCAGGTCTCAAAAGAAGGATATCAAGAAGGAGATGAACAAAAGCATCACATGTAGTAACAAACTAATCTCAATCCCAAAGACAAATCAGAAAACCATAATCTCATATTTACAATACAATACAAACCAAGGGTCTCAGAATCAAGCCCTATGAGATTGATTGACAAAACCAAATCTTGCTCGAGCTTTTCCTTCCCTTCCAAACCCATGCCACTCTACAAGCATAAATCAAGGCTTCGAATTCCATTCCCCTCTCGAACTCAAGGCTATGCTCTGGCTCTTACATCGTGTGAGGATGTCGACGAACTCAAGGGGCATGAGATTCGGGTTTTGGTTGGTTTTGTAGAAGAAGACTGAAGAAGCATAGGGGAGAAGAAGGTATGAAGAGGATGAACTACCAACGACAAAGTGAACCACCTTGGCATCGGTGGAAGCAAGCTGGGTTGTGAGGAGAAAGGGGAAGTGATGAAGAGGAAGGGGGAGAAGACATGGATTTGATTTCTTTTATTTTTTATTTTTAAAATATGCGAAGTGACTACCAACTAAATAATTAGAGTCAACCTACATTTTAGGGTGGTATTATGTTAAATTAAAAATTATTGGGGCGATATTAAACCATAAAAAACTTAAAGGACATGAAGTTTGTGTAAAAACTTCAAGCATAAATTTATACCGCAACCTATTTAAAAGTTAGGGGGTATTTGGAGTAAGAAAGATCTACATATCAATATTAAGTTGATGATCATCAAAGGATATCCTTTATATATATATATATATATATATTTCCATTGCCGGATATTTTAAAAAACTTATGTGTATTACTACTATTTACCTAAATTAATCTAAACATTTGTTATATGGGATTATTATTATTAACAACAATCTCACAAGTAACAAGGCTGCATATTTCATGACCCAAACATAAAAACTTTTAAATAAATTAATTCAATTTTCTTAACTAATTGAACGAAGTATCCCTCAATAATAAAGGACTTTCTTAATGGACAAGATTGAGTAACATGGGTTAAATTAGTTGACTCTTTCATTTTGATATCTTTTTTTTTTTTTTGTCATTTGTGCATGTCATCATTGTGCAAGAGCAGTTTTTATCTTCTCTATCATTCCAATTTTATGTCCCAAAAGAACTTTAACATCTAATTTTTGAGCGAATATTTATCTTTCGATTTAGATATTCATTATTTATTATGAAAGCTTAGTGATTGATAAGTTTAAAACAAGTCATATGTAAAGTTTTCTTATTATAAAAAATTGAGTAAATTGTTGCAAAGTATAGATATAGGAAAGTCGACTTGTGAATTATAGAAGGAATGATCACGGATGGGATGGCTTTCTTTGTTTTTTTTTTTTTTCCTGTGCTTACGTAATCTAATTACTCCTTCGATTTTATTTATAAGATATTTTTTAAAAGTAATTTTTAATTTAAAATATAAGATACTTTAAAATAATTAAATCACTTTTTTTAATTTTATCACTTCTTGATTAGCATAAAGATATTTAATATAGTTTTATTATTATTTAAAATTAAAGATAAAAATGAAAGTACTTCTCAACTTTTTATATTATAAAAAAATTAATTTTTTTAAAATGGATAAAATGATTAAAAATATTTTATAATAATGATTATAGGGAATATCTCCCACTCTTTATATATACACTCTTTATATATATATATATATATATTTTGTTAAATAAGACGACTCTTCCAAATTGCAAGATACATTTGTACTTCTATTATTTATATATTTTTTAGAAAGTGTTGGTATTTGAAGTAATTGATGAGGTGGACAAGGGATCTAGTTTTTTTCCCTACTTTTCACGTCAACTACCAGATTAAATTTGAGCGGATTAAAATTAATATTGCACAAATATTTATTATTAAACTATGAAATAAAAAATAAAAAATAGAAAATTTAAACGGTTAAATTTGAATTAAAAATCTTTACAATTCATGGATTCGAATTGCAACCAGCTGATTTAGCTCAATAAAATTACAACTAGAAGGTCACAAGTGAAGTCAATAACAACTGTAAAATTCTTAACAATTTAAATCTATTCTGAGAAAAAAAGTATATTATAAAATATTAAATCCAAATCATTCCTAATTTTATCTTTTTTTTTTGTGGTGGGAAAATGGAAGTAAAAAGAGATAGAGAAGTAGAATCTATGAAAAAAATTGGGATTTATAACATTGTATACATGAAAATGGAGTAATGAGAACACTAAAAAGAAAAAATTGGCTAAAAATCTCTCACCAACAAATTTATTATTCTAAAGTATCTGGAATCTACGAAAGATCAAGGTTCTTCGTTGTCAATATTCAAATACAATAAACAACTTAGATTCCTTTAATGAAATAAAACAAAAAATGACCAAGGTCTTCTAGTGTCAATATTTGTGAACCTTAAAGGACCAAAGTCCTTCGATGTCAATATTTGAGAATGTTAAATTTCTTTATGGAATAAAATGTACAGAAAAGGTCTTTGTATATGAGGGAAGGTATTTGAATATCATGGAAGATGTGTTGCACCCAAGGACAATTTATGATAGAAGTTTGAACCTAATTAGAAAATATTGCATATCATGGAAGGATCTTGCATGTGGATAAAGAAAATGTGCACCAACAAAAAATATTTGCATATGAAGGAAGAAAGTTGCATTTTATAGTAGATTTATTGCACCTAATGAAATGTGCAACATCATGCCAGTATTTTACATCTAATGGTAACTTCCTTTGTAATATGAAAGAAATTTACATGCGTGAATAAGTATTTACATGACAAAATAACATTTTGCATTGTATTGATTATGCATGTCAATTTACAAGATAACATTCATGATGTTCAAATATACCTTCAATTTTTATTAAAATACAATTAGATATTATAAAAAATTATACATCCTTAGAATATTAAGCATGTGAATTTCGGTAATCTAACCATCTTTCTTTATTCTTCAAAAGGACCTAAATCCTTATACAAATTCTAGGTACCATAGAGCAATAAATTTGCTGGTGAGAAATTTTGAGCAACTCTCTCTGCAAAAAATTGTTAGGCAATCAAACCACATCTAACAGCTTGTCTAGTAAGATTAGATATTTGTTGTATAGTAAGATAAAGTTATGGGAAAATGACAAAAAATATTCTTAAAATATGGAAATGATATTAATATCACAAATCGTGATAATTATTACATTGTATCTCTGGAACTTGTTTGTTATTTTTATTTTTGACGAAATGACATATTTGTTTTCAATAACAATTATACATTGAAAAAAGACTATTTTAGTGGCACTATTCACTATAACGAATTAGAGAATGAGTTTTTCTTATGTAAATTTTTTTATCAATCAAGCACAACTAGAATAATAATTTTAAAAAAGGAAGTAGTCATTTTCATTTTTTAATCCATTTATAAATGACAAATTGGCATAAAGGAAATAGTTATTTTCTATTCCATTTTAGTTAATAACCTAACTAAAATAGTTATTGGTTTTTAGTATCGTACTTGATTGATAAACAAAATGCGTAGAAAAGAGTAGTAACTTTCTCTTTTTTTTTTTTTAATAAAAGGCCACGAAGATACCATGCTAGATGACATGTTGTGTCATATTAGTGTATGAAAAAATTCTACACCTAAGTGGTGAAGTGTCAAAAATATGAACATTAAGATCATTGATAAAAGCCTGACGTGCCAACCAATTTGTACATTTGTTGGCCTCCCTATAGACATGATTGAAGGTGACTGTTCAATTTTTCATAACAAAATCTTTAATTTTGTTTATAGTTGCAGTTAAAGGGTGATTTGTAGAAAACTCATCGTGTATTAACGTAAGAGCTTCTATAGAGTGATAATAGACATTAACTTTGTCAATTTTTTTAGCCCAACAAATGCTTAGTCCTTTCAAGATGCCTAAAAGTTCGGCTCTCGTACATGGGTGATAACTAAGATACTTGGAGAAGCCTTTGATCCAATTAATGCTTATCTCATATGAGTCCATTACAGGAAGTAACACCTTGATTGTTGACTGAATAATCTATATTAAGTCTAATCCGTCCATCTTTAGGGCATAACCATTTAACATTTGATCTATCACCCTGTTGATTTAAAAAGTTGATTTTTGATTGAAGATATTGATCATTGAGTATATCCTAAATGCTGATAAATGTAATATGTCTCTATTAGGATTATCTTTTGTGGAATAAATGTTTGTGCATCTATCTTTTTAGATGTTCCAATACACGTGTGTGAACAGTTTTTGCCAATGGATCTTTCTTGAACAAGCATTGCTTACATCATAATTAGCACTTTAAAGTATCCATTCCTTAAGAGAGAGAGGAAAAAAGTGTTAAGTTTAAATTATTTAATTAATTTTATCTAAACCTTTCTATAATTCTTGCAATCTCTCAGGATATGAGCGGTAGAGTTTAAGGAGTTGCAGCCAAAGGGGCATGGCCTAAGATAGGTATTGCCATCACTAAAGTAAGCAAATTTAGGTTGAAGATGATCTTAAGCCGCTTTCCAAAGAAAGGTCTTAATCTTCTTATATGTTGGCCATTTTTAAATTTTAGACCAAATCTTAGAGTTGGAGTTGTCATAATGATTATCAATAACCTTATAAGCAGATTTGATAGTGAAGTTGTCATCATTAGAAGGCCTTCAACAAATAATATCATTGTTGGCATTGGCATTAGGAGGTTGAACAACAATGATGTAATTAATGACGTCTTGGTGAAGATATCTATATAATTGATCAACCTTTCAACTATCTTAAGTAGAATAGAAATCAAAAACTTTAGCATAGAGAATAGAGTCTACCTTGGGAGATGCATATTCAACGAGGGGTTTAGGAAGGGGGTACCATTTGTCATACGAGAATGATATTTAGCCTCCCTTTCCTACCTTCTAGCTTTTGTGAGATATGAATTGGTTCAACTTTACAGTAACTTTCTATTTTGTTATAGTTAATATAATGCATAATAGTGATTAAAGGCAAGTATGTTATTTTATCAAAAATCAAAATGCCATATAACTCTCTAGGGACAAAATAATATTCTCTCTATCTCAAATTATAAAACAATTTGAGATAAGAGACTATATGTACTAATAAAATCTAATAATGATATTTTACAAATTTACTTTTTTAAAATAAGAATATAAATTTTCAACAATATATTTCATTTAATGTAACTTTAAATCTATCATCATTTTAATTCTTTTTCCATTTGAAGTGTTATATTAGAAAATCATTATTAATGAAACTTTATTTTTATCAAATTATATTATATTTTGAAAAAATAAAATACCTCCAAAGTTGTCTTACAATTTAAGATGGAGGTAGTAATAATCACATTTCACTGTATCTAATTGTCATTTGCATATTTTGGAGGTATTTTTTTGTCACTTCTCCTAAAATCATTATCAAGCATACTCGTTATGGTCCTATTTATAGGGTAAAGGTAGAATATTTTTTTATCTTATTTATAAGTCACATTATTAAATCTTCATTTTAAATTTTTTTCATTTGACCTTTGTTGAATATTGAAGAGAAAAAATATATTGTTAAAATATGTATATTTAATAAAGATAAAGTTGATAAATTATTAAATTTTTAAATAGAATTAATAAATTTTAATATTTTTATTGGTTTTGGTAAAACGTGTTAAAAGTGCCTTATAAATAGAATTGGATAATTATTAACTACCATCAGCCTTCAAATTTAAAAAAAGACTTAAAAAAGAAAAAAATACATTATTTCCTACAATTTACATAATGATATATCCAAAAATTCTTAGAAAATGAGTATGGACACACACACACACACACACACTTTTTTATATTTTACAAGAATATTCACATAAAAGTACCTCCTTCAATCATTATACAAGGTAAATTTTAATTTTTTTCCTTTAATACCGACAAAGTTAGAGTAATTATTTTTAATTTCACTCTTGTTTATGTGATTTGAATTCTTAGACAACGGTTCTAAGACAATGGTTTATTAATTATTAAGTGTAAAGAAAGGCAAAATTTAAAAAAAAAATTACATTTTTTATCACCTTAAAAATATAAATATTATTTTTTTAATAAATGCCAAACTTGTTAATTTTATTTTATATTAACAAATAGAGGAAGTAAATATTTAATTGAGAATACTGTGAAGTTAGAGGAAAAAAATTTTGACCTTCAATCTGTGGTCGGATTATCCGTTGATGGTTGTTGCTGGGATCATTTGCATGATTAAAATATTGTCCGCACACAGTAATTTCATGCTATGGCTGCATCACGGCCGCCTTTATTCGTCGATTGAGCTCTTTCCAATCATATCACGACACGTAAGGCAACCTGTGCTGATGTGTCATCAATTGGTTGGTCGAATTTGACTCCATCGAACCCGCCCCAGGCCCCTCATTGAGTCAGATAATAGAACACTGCAGTTTCAGAGGTTTAAGAAAAAATTATGTATAGAATAAACTTAATTAATAAAGATATATCTTACGTTCGCACTGTCTCATGTTCTCATCATTTCCATGCAAAATAATGTAAGACATCTTTTTTCAAGACATTAATATCCATGCGTGCAAACTATAAGATCAATAGTCTAATTATACAAATGAATAAATTAATAATTTAGATTTATTATAATGTGATTTTTATTTTAATAATTTATCTTCATCTTTTTGGCCACAATAATTTGTCTAGATTTAACAACTAAAAACTATGTAATTGGAGGAACATTTTTTAAAAATAATTTATTAAAAATAAGAATAGGAAGATAAAAGCTGTATTTATGCATTGTGCAAGCGGCAGAAACGCATTGACCATCCGATTGCAAGAAAAAAGTAGGCAAATTAGATGTAGATCTCATAAAACAAACTTATTTATAAAAAATCTTTTTAAATTTTAAAATTACAGTGAAGTTTCTTAAAACCTAAGTGTAATTTAAAATTAAAATATAAAGACAATAAAACCTTTATAAAACATACATTTCATTAATCAAATAATTAATTTACAATCATTTCATCATCAATTTATAACTATAATTTTAAATTTTTATAATTGTAACTTTACATATTTAATAGTCAAACAATCATGCATTATTTATAAAATTTAATATTAATTATTTACAACTATTTTATTAATAATTTATAACTATAATTTTAATTTTTTATAATTATAACTTCATATATCCAATAGTTAAATTGATCAATTTGGTTATTAGATATATAAGGTTACAGAATTGAAATTATAATTATAAATTGTTAATGAAATAGTTACAAATTATTTAACTAATATAATATATATGTATTAAATAGGGATATTTTTATTTTTTATCTCAATTTTAACTTATACTTAAATCTCAAGAGATTTACTCATGACTTTTAAATTTTATGTAACTTATGTATAAATAAATTAATTTTACAAGACCTGTATATAATTTTTTTAAAACAGAATCATTGGTTCGGTTCGCGAAATTATTTTCATATTTATCCTTCAAATAGAAAACGCCAAAAAGATAATTTAAAATTAAATAAAAAAGTAAGGGAATAAATGATGCAGTGGCATTTTCTGTAAATAAAAGGAAAAGAAATGGCATTTACGAAGCACCCCAAACCTAGAATAAAACCCCACTCACATGTCAAGTTCGCTCCTCACTTGCTCTGCTATTTTTTGTTTTTCACCGTTTCTTCTTTCATTCCTCTGTAACGGGGGAAACAGAGGAAGATAAAAAGAGAGAGAGTAAATTAACCCGAAAGGCAAAGGGAAAAGGGGAGGATGGAGCATGGAATCTGCACAACTTGGGTTTTCTCTTTCCTCTGAGTGAGTGTGCAATGAGAAACCCAAATCTCCTTCATCGAGTTTTCAGCTAGTAATAATAATGGCGGGTTCGGCAGCTCTGGCACCAGAGCCAAACGCAGAGGTATTTTCGTGGCTAAAATCTCTTCCTCTCGCTCCAGAGTACCGACCTAGCTTGGCTGAGTTCCAAGATCCGATTTCATACATTTTTAAGATCGAGAAGGAAGCTTCCAAGTATGGAATCTGCAAAATTGTTCCCCCCGTGCCGCCTTCTTCCAAAAAGACAGCAATTGCGAATTTTAATCGCTCGCTGGCGGCACGAGCTGCTTCTTCTGACTCTTCCAATTCGAAGTCTCAGCCTACATTCACCACAAGGCAGCAGCAGATCGGGTTCTGCCCTCGGAAGCAACGGCCCGTGCAGCGTCCTGTGTGGCAGAGTGGGGAATACTACACGTTTCAGGAATTTGAAGCTAAGGCCAAGGCTTTTGAGAAGAATTATCTGAAGAAATGGGCTAAGAAAGGTGGGCTCTCGCCCCTGGAGATAGAAACACTTTACTGGAAGGCGACAGTAGACAAACCCTTTTCGGTGGAGTACGCAAATGATATGCCTGGTTCGGCTTTTGTTCCCGTGAATGGGAGAAAATATAGAGAGGCAGGGGAGGGATTGACTCTTGCTGAGACTGCATGGAACATGAGGGGGGTGTCGCGGACAAATGGCTCTCTGTTGAAGTTTATGAAGGAGGAGATTCCAGGTGTTACATCACCGATGGTGTACGTAGCTATGCTGTTCAGCTGGTTTGCTTGGCATGTAGAGGATCATGACCTGCATAGCTTGAATTACCTTCATATGGGGGCAGGCAAGACTTGGTATGGCGTGCCGCGGGATGCAGCTGTTGCATTTGAGGAAGTGGTCAGAGTACATGGGTATGGAGGAGAAATAAATCCTCTTGGTAAGTAACTTAAAGTGGCGCTAAATCAGAGCAAACGTCCCTGTTTCCCGGTTCTGTTTAATGTGAACTGAAATTTTTTTTCGGCACTATTTTGATGTGTTGCTTTTATATTATGTAAAGAACTATGAAATTTTCACATTCGCCATGTTAGTTATCTCCACAGTCGAACACCATGACATTTACTTGTGAACTTTGAGGAAGAACTTTGGTGGCATGTACAAGCGATACATGTGTACAATGATGGCTGGATAAATCTGTACTTGCTCTTGTATGCGTTTTCTGTTCTCACTTGTATTTCAACATGGCTCTTTTTGCCAGCTTTTTAGACATATTGATGAATATGGAAGATAAGGTTTAGGGCATAAGTCCGTGGTGAATATGGAGTAGCTAGTGTGCTCAGGGTTAATATGCGTTAACCAATATTCTCGGATTTTTTTCAAACTTACAGATGATGTTTTGTCGGATGGTTGGAGACTGCTAAAAAGTCTTTAAGACATAAAGTCTAGAGAGAAAAGGTCATTATGAAAAAAAAAACATACGTCATTTTTTCTAAATTCGTTTTCTTAGGGGTCCTCTCCTACTGCCACTTGTGCTGTCATAACCAAGATATGGATTATTGGTTAGATTCTTCTATATGATTTAAAGTGTGTTTGGAATCATATTAGGTAGGGTTAAAACCTTTGTTAGAAAAAGGTAGCGTTAGAACCATGAGGTTGCTTTTGTCAAAACCATGTTTTGGTCTCAACCAATGTGATTGGAAACATGCACTTAATGCTATATGTACCTATTGACCAAAGATCATAAGTTTTTTCTTCTTTTTGGGCTTGGTGTGCGTGTACACCATTGAGGTTAGCTAACATCATGCTCTCTCAAACTGATAAGTTTTGTATCAAGTTATGATTGTCAAAAGTGAGATTTAGTATTGATATTTTCGTATTTTACTGAATCAAATTCCTGTAAAAACATTGTTCTGTCTAAATTTAATGAAACTCTTTTTTGTAATGTGATGAAGACCAAGGTAGTATGGGATTATTAGTCCAAGAATAGCATGATATGCTCTATGGGTATTTGAGTGGGTTGATTCTGCCACCTTGATGGTTAGCTTTTAGGGGGGGTTTCCCATCTTGCATGGGTGCCCACCAATAATTGTTGGGGACAGTGGCTTTCTAAGGATGACCAACTGATGGATACTAGGTAATTTGAGATGCCTAGTATGAGTTGCTTTATGAAAACTTAAGTGACTCTGTTCTCCCACTTCGATTGTGAACTTTTTAGATAGGGATCCTCATCCCACTTAGGTACCTATCATAATCATACAATTGGCTAATTTAAGGATTTTAATAATTAATTTAATGGTACTGATTTTGCGAGTCTAATAATTGGACTCAAATTAAAGAACTTCCACTTGTTGAAATTTGAAGTCTTTCCTTTGTTTGAGTAGATTGCTCCTTCTTTTAGGACATGCCCTTCTCCTTTTTCCATTAGTCTGTCAACCAAGCACCTAAACATGGTCTTTCACTCCTGATCCTTGGGTTTGTTGCTCTCAGTTTTTTCTTTGTTCTGGTTTTCTACTTTTTCCCCTTTTCCTTAATCCTCTTATTCCTTTTCATCATTTCTTTCACCTTTGATTCATTGTGTTTTATTTTGGCAATGTATGGAGAATTATAGGTATTGCTTAAGTCCTTTTGGTTCACTGAGATTAATTAGTATCAATAATAGAGAGAACGATATTTGGCTGTGTTCATAAATTCACCCCCATTTTATTGTTAAACTTACAAAGATCTTGTTTTTATTCAATCAGTTACTTTTGCTGTACTTGGTGAGAAAACGACAGTGATGTCACCAGAAGTATTTCTTAGTGCAGGGGTTCCATGTTGCAGGTACTATGTTATATTAATACCCTTCAATATCTTGTAACACCTCTGCCTTGCTAAATCTCTATTGTGGCTAGTAATATCTTGGTAAAAAAAGCCTACTACCTTATTCTCCATTTTGGTACCTTATTCTCCATTTTGGTTTTGGTGATGCTACTAGCTCCGAATTGATGCATGATTAATCCTGTATGAAGCATTTTTCATGATTTTCTTTTCTCAATTGCTTATAGGTTAGTGCAAAATGCTGGAGAATTTGTTGTCACATTTCCAAGAGCCTATCACACGGGATTTAGTCATGGTGGAGCACTTAACCTTTTAAGCTCCATTTTGTGGGGCTATTTGTGATTGCCACTTATTTTAATATTATTGGCTTTAATCCTTTGGGATAATGTGCTGTATAGGATTTAATTGCGGGGAGGCTGCCAATATTGCAACACCTGAATGGTTGAGGGTTGCTAAAGATGCTGCTATTAGGAGGGCTTCAATAAATTATCCGCCCATGGTTTCACATTTCCAGTTACTTTATGATCTTGCCTTGGCCTTGTGTTCAAGGTTTGTCCCTCCCCTCAAGCCAAAATCTTGAAAGAAATTTTTTGTTCATTTTCTCTCATGGTCATAGGACATTATAGAAGATTGATACTGGTATTAAGCAAATACATTTAGGAAAAGATATTTGATATTAGAAAGCTTTGGGTTGACCACTCTATATACAAACTTATGTGTATTTTCAAGTTATGATTAAATGTTTTTATAAGAGCAATTTACACGTTTTGGTTTTATTTGGCAAGAGCTAATTTGACCTGCTCATGCAGAATTCCTGGGGGCATCAGTTCTGAACCACGGAGTTCTCGGCTTAGAGATAAGAGGAAAAGTGAAGGGGAAATTGTAATTAAAGAACTATTTGTCCAAGATGTGTTACAGAACAATGACTTGCTTCATGGTCTTGGTAAAGGATCTTCTATAGTACTGCTTCCACGGAGCTCTTCAGATATTTCTGTTTGCTCAAAATTACGTGTTGGTTCCCAGCAATTTAAGGTGAACCCTGGGTATTCTCCTGGTGCATGTAATTCTGAGGGAGTGAATTCCTCAAAAGGTTTTGTTTCTGAAGACCTGGTTTTCAGCAGAACCACACAAATGAAAGGATTTTATTCAGTAAAAGAGAAGTTTGCTTCTTTGTGTGAGAGGAACAGACTGTCCTCGTTAAGTGCAAATGATAACATATGCTCTTCAAGTTCTGTGCCACTTCAAAGAGACACTGAAAGAGAGACAAGCCAAGGGGATGGGTTGTCAGACCAGAGACTATTTTCATGTGTCACTTGTGGCATATTAAGCTTTGCTTGTGTTGCTATTGTGCAGCCTAGGGAACCAGCGGCTAGATACCTTATGTCAGCTGATTGTAGCTTCTTTAATGATTGGGTTGTTGGTTCTGGAGTAAGCTTCAATAAGTTTACTCATGTTCAGGGAGATGCAACTACTGAAAAAAACATCTTTGCAGGTAGGATTATTTGTGACTTCTGTTTCTAATATTTATGCTTATTTGATCTCAGATTGCCGTTACAGTCCTGGCTTTTTTCATATATTGACAGTAATGACTGTTCAGCCTTGTTCTGGGTTTTTTCCAGGACTCTGTCGTGCACCCATCAGAAGACATTATTTGTTTTGCCAATGTCTTGGTATAAAGGCTGCATAGCCAACTATTTGTCCTGAAAAATTCCTAGCATTGAGAAGAAATCAAATGCTTTGTAGGCTACAACATGTCATAGATTTCTTTACCTTTTTAGCTTAGTAGGCGTGAGTCCAAAAAATCTTTGATTTAGTTCAAGTTTTGAGGAATAGGGAATGGGCTAGAGGGGATCCTTCCTAGGTTTTGATACGAGAGAGATGTGGATACCATTAGTAATTGATTGTAACTTGCAAGGTATTGAACTCTGGTCCCAAATCGAAAGCATGTGATTTTGATGGGGGTTGAAGGAGATCTTAAGCTCTTTAATCTCATGGGCTGGCTTTTTGGCTATAGTTTTCCCAGATACTTTATTAATTGGTATTTTGGCCTTCCAGTAGGTCTCAACAGTAATCATGTAACACAGGTATATAAGACAAGGCTATGGATTATGTTGAATGTGATTATCTAACTGTAATTCAGGCCAGAAAAACAGATGGTTTATAGAGACCTTGGATTTTCTAACTTAATAAGTTGGTTTTTGGGATATGTTCTCCAAAACATTTCTTGTTTTGCTCTTAGATGCTACAATTTGATTACTCTCGATCGTTGCTATTCCACTTTAAATTCTTGGCATTTTGCTAATACTCCCTCGTTCTTTTTACAAGACAAATTACCTAACTTACACATACCGATAAAACAATTTAACTAATTTATGTCTTAATTTCTTGTTCCATCTTTCCACTTCTACCCTTAATTAATGCTCTTTGTTTTCTTAACTTTTCTTATCGTTGATTAGGGGCATGTTTAGGGAAAAATATTAATTACTCCTAAAGGTTTGTCAATTCTCTTAAATATAGGAACACTACACCCTCCAAAGTTGTCTTAGATTCATTGTCATTTTAAGAAATGTTAATTGCAGAAAAATTATTTATTATCTCAGACTTCAGTTTGCAATCATCTTTGTTGATCTTGTCTTTAAGGGGAAACAAGCTAGCTTTTGAGGTAGGAGAGCCAACTGACTTAAATGCTCCATTAAGTATTTCATACCATCTTAGTCTTCATCAATTGACCCCATGAAGAGTTGATGTTCCTATGGCAACCCTCTCCAAAACTGCACATGGTGACACTTCAGTTAGCTTTCTCAGCAGTCAGAACCTTTCACTGCTCAAAGCCCCTCTTCAGGCAGCCCTTTCCAAGGTGTCACCAACCATCAAAATTTGATACTAATTGTGGGCATTGAAGTGGGTGGGTAATTGTTGCCCAAAAGCTACCTATCAATGTGGGAGAACCAATTCACTTAAATATCCCATTAAGCATCCTATATTGTTCAGTGTGGGGCTTAGGCTTCTCATGTTATTTTAGTTTCCACCAGTTTTCAATATTCTATATTTGTCTTTTGGGACTTAGCTGAGTTCGAGAAGGCTGATTTTGATCTTATATTGTTATTCTAAATCAGAAACTAATTGAATATTTTTGTTGTATATTTAAACGTGAAGCTCTACAAGAGTGTCTTGCCTTATAAGTAACTAATTTAGCTTTTATTTTAGATTGCCTTAGCTTTGACTTTAGCAGGTTCTGTTTATGAGTTCTCATTTTCAATCTTCCTTGACAAAGATGCAGGGAAACTACTTACTTATTTCTGTCTCTTCATGCAGGATGGAAGGTTGAAAAAGCCCCAGACTATGATATTCCTGTTCAATCTGTAGGATATCAGATACAGGCGGAAGATCAATCACATGAGGAAGCTTTATGTACTAAGGGACGAAAGGAAACATCAGCCCTTGGGTTATTGGCATCAGCATATGGAAATTCATCTGATTCAGAGGAAGATCATGTTGACTCAGATATTGCCGTTCATCATAATGAATCTAATATTATGAACTGTCCATCAGGGAGTGTATCTCAGAATATGTCTTGCTTGCCTTCTCATTTCGAAGACTGCAAGGCAAGTGCAGTCAGGGTTCATGATGATCATGGGCAAAAAGCAAACTCAGAAGGTCGTGGTACCACTTCAGGGACTGCATTTAAGAATACGAGTTGTACCTTAAATTATTCTCAAGATGTTTGTGAGGCTGAAACATCAATGCTTCGTAACACTGGATGTCCCGTTGATAATAGAAGTGGTTCATTGTTGCCACATTCTGATGAAGATTCATCTAGATTGCATGTCTTCTGTCTAGAGCATGCTGCTGAAGTGGAGCAGCAACTTCACCCAATAGGAGGAGCAGACATTTTACTCCTTTGTCATCCAGGTGCGGTGTTTGGTGGATTAACCATTTCAGCTAGTTCATTTAATTCAGATAAATAAAATACATATAATACCATATAGTTTGTCTCATCTCTAAAGTTCTTTTTGAAAATGTTTCCTTCTGAATTGTAGCATATTCATGTTGTTTTAATTCTTCTATATGAATTAGTTAAATCAACTCATTACTGCTTATTAACCTCTACTCTCTCTGTTCAATATTATGAGGTATTTTTAATCAAATCACACCCTCCAATAAGTTTTTGATTGTCTTCAAAATTATACACTCTTTTCATGTTTACCCCTATTTAATTGAATGTCTCAATTAGAAAACTTTATTAATTGCACCCTTAATTAAGGATATTTTTGGAAAAACATCATTAATTGCACCTTGAAGGTCCTAAAATGCCTTATATTTTTTAACATTTTACCTAAAAAAAAGCCTTGTATTTTTTAATGGAGGGAATTTTTTTTACAAGTAATTTTTTTTTTACTGAATTATGATTCATCATGTGTAGTCACTAGTTTTCCCTTCTTTTGCTAGTTATTATGATTTTTTTCTCTACAGATTATCCCAAGGTGGAGGCTGAAGCGAAAATTGTGGCCGAAGAACTTGGTATTGATGGCATATGGAAGAATCTTGCTTACAGAAATGCCACCCCTGAAGATGAGGAAAGGATCCAGTCGGCTCTGGATAGTGAGGAAGCTATTCCTGGAAATGGAGACTGGGCTGTCAAGCTGGGAATCAATCTCTTCTACAGTGCCAATCTTAGCCGCTCTCCTCTCTACAGTAAGCAGATGCCTTATAATTCTGTCATATATTATGCATTTGGCCGTAGTTCTCTGGCAGGCTCGCCCACAGAACCCAAGGTTTACCAAAGAAGGGCCAGCAAGCAGAAAAAGGTGGTTGCTGGAAAATGGTGTGGTAAAGTTTGGATGTCCAATCAGGTCCACCCCCTTTTAGCTAAAAGAGATTCTGAGGATGATGATGAGAAGATCTTGCATGGGTGGTCATTGCCTGACACGAAAATTGAGAGATCAGAAAGTACCCACACAGACAATTTTACTACTAGAAAATCTGCTAAGAAAAGGAAAATGACTGTAGAGAGTAGAAAAGCCAGGAAAGCCAGTTTCACTGGGAGAGAATATGTTTCAGACAATTCTATTGAAGAGAAATACAACCCACAGCAGAAGACATATTCTAGAAGCAAACAAGCCAAATATTTTGAGAGAGATGATGCAGCATCAGAAGAGGATTATTCTCCTTTGCAGCAGTACGGAAAACCTACAAGAAAGCAAGCCAAATACATCGACAGTGATGAAGTTTCAGATGATTCAATGGATGATAATTCTCATATGCAGCATGGAAGGAATTTCAAAGTCAGAGAAACTAAATTTAGTGACAGTGATGTTGCCTCAGATGATACAATGGGATATGATTCTGATTCACAGCTTAGGAGAGGGCTTAGCAAGAAACAAATTGAAGACTCAGAAAGAGATGGAATTTCAGAGGATTCAATGGGTGGTAGTTCTCTTAAGCGGCAGAGGAAGAATCGTAAAAGCAAGCCAGCCAAATATGTTGCTAAAGATGTAATTTCTGATGACCAAATGGAGGACCATTTTCAGAAGCAGCAAAGAAGGATTCCTAAAAGCAGACAAGCGAAATACCTTGATGGAGAAGATATCATGGTATCTGATGACGAACTGGAGCATCACATACATAAGCAGCAACGATCTAAAGGCAGGCGAACCAAATACCTTGCTGGCGAGGACATTACATCTGATGACCTACTGGAGGACCATTCTGGCAAGTGTCATAGAAGGTTTCCTAAAAGCAGACAAGGTAAATGCCTAGTTCAGGAAGATGTAGTGTCTGATGATCAATTGGACGATCACTTTCAGAAGCCACGTGGGACTATTCCAAAGAGCAGGCACAATAAACGCAAAAATAGAGTTACTGTTGACTCATCTGATAACTATTCTCGTTTGATGCATAGAACTCCTAAGAGGAAAGTGAAAAGCATGGGTGAAGAAGATATCAATTCCGATGATCAAATGGAGGATTCATCTCATCAGCAGCGAAGGAGGATTCTTCGAAGCCAGCAATCTAAATTAGAGACACAGCAAGAATCGAAACAATCTAACTCTTGCCGTGTGAAAGAACATGCATCCCGGCCTCGAAAACGAGGTGCTCAGCTGCTTGTAAAACCGAAGACTTCTCAGAAAATGAAGCAGCCACCTCGAGTGCAGAGAAATCAACCTAATAACTTTAGAGATTTTAACCTATGTTCGGAAGAGGAGGAAGAAGGTGGACCTAGCACACGCCTTAGGAAGAGAGTACCAAAAGTTGAGGAGCCTGAAGCAAAACCCAAAGAAAAGGTAACCCAAAGGAAGAAGGTGAACAATGCTACAGCTTTGAAGGTTTCCAAAACGAAGGATGAGGAAGCAGAATATGAGTGTGATATTGATGGTTGCACTATGAGCTTTGGCTCAAAACAGGAGCTATTAGTTCACAAGAGGAACATTTGTCCTGTAAAGGGATGTGGAAAGAAATTTTTCTCACATAAATATCTGGTACAGCATCGTCGGGTTCACGAGGATGACCGCCCTCTGAGGTGCCCTTGGAAGGGCTGCAAGATGACCTTCAAGTGGGCATGGGCACGTACTGAACATATTCGAGTGCATACAGGGGCTCGTCCATACGTTTGCGCTGAGCCGGGGTGTGGGCAAACATTCAGATTTGTTTCTGATTTCAGTCGCCACAAGCGAAAGACCGGTCATTCAGCAAAGAAGAGCCGTTAATAGCAAATGGAGTAGATGTTACTTTAACATGGATTATGAATTTACGAGTCCAAATTGTTCAATTGACAGGGTTAGGACTAGGTTTAGAATTAGAATATCCCTGCAATTCCATTTGTAGTAATTACTAATTGTGTTTGCTCTGTGTATTGTACCCATTTGTTTATTTCAAGTAGAGCAATTGCCAGGATCTGGAAACATGATTCTCATCTAAATTCGTACCCCGTGCAGATGCGAGCCCCACGTTTGTGTTATGATGAATTTCATGCAACAATCATTCATGATGCATGCTTCAGCAAGGCCGTATTCAGAGATGCTGTACTTGATCTTTCATAACACCCATTTTTCGATTTGTGCCTGTCATTCTTGTACAGGATTATATTAATCTTCTCTCTTTCGTTTTAATTTTATGAAATGTTTTTAAAGGGACGATCTCTCATAATATCCATTGATGAAAGGGGTGTTATCCTTTTGTTTTCTTTATTTTAGGTAACAATGAGTGATTAGAATTCCCACGTTCCAATATTTTGTTGGTATCCTGACACGCTAGAAGTATGAGCTAGATGAGTCAAATCTTGAATTGAATTGATTCATTAAACTAAATCGAACGACCTAATTTTGTTCTTAAGTAAATTTGTCGAGGTCATAGTTCAATTATTGAACGTTGAGCCCTATTATCAAATAGTCACCTTTTTAGTACCGTTATTTAATACCAAAAGTCTTTATAGTTTTTCTGCTGTTATTATTAGAAGATAGGAAACGAGTTGTTTTTTATTTAGGTACATCCTCACTTTTCACACATTTTCAAGTCCTTTGTTACTTTATTTATTTTTTTCTTTTTTTCTTTTATTTTTTTATAAGTTTCAAGACTCTTTAAATATTAGAAAGGTAAATGCAAAATTGAAAAAAAAATTATCATTATCTTTTGTAATTTTTTATTAATGTAAGGCCCAAGTTGTAATATATATGAATTCTTGCTTGGGATCGCCTAAAAGAAAAACCTTGTTTGTTGGTCTGCGGGTCTATGGTTTGTGTCTCAAGTCCTGATTAATTCTAGTCCTCGCATAATTGGGATTCTGAGTCGTTTTACTTTTTAATAAAATTGACCTTTGTATTCAATTTAAAAAAAAATTGACCTTCGTATGTATATATAAAAAAAAATCCTTTGTATTATTTTAATGTACTTTTGTTTTTAGGGACTGAAACCAACTATAAACCAAACTAGTTATGACCAACAGGAAATGGAAAAGACATTTATATTTCGTATTCAATTATTTTTTGAATAAAATTGATTTTAATAAAGTAATATTTGTACGTATTAAAATAAGAAAAAACGTATCTAAACAAGTGTAAAGCTTATCATTTGTCACAATTTTGACCAAACTAGAAGGCTCTCTCTAGTCTTCGAGCATTCTTGCATGTTTGGATTGAATTAAATATCATACTTGGTTTTAATCAAATCAAAACAGGTGGATATTTTTATTCATTACTCATCCTCTAATTAATTTTCATTATCAATGTTTTTTAAATTATTTTAAATTGAAATCCATGTGTCATGATTTAATGAAAATAAGCACATTGATTATGTAAGTCTTCTTCTTACATTTATTATTAATCCAGTGAACCTTAATGATTTTTAAAAAGATAAGATTTACTTCCTTCGTTAAAAAATGTAAAACATTCTTAATTGAATCTCACCTCTTAATAAAGTAGTTAATTATCTTTAAACTAATTATATATTTTTATATTTATCCTTATTTAACATGATGTTTCATTCTAAAATAAATATAAAATAATTTTTTAATAGGAACACTTTTAGAAAGAAGGTAATAATTACATTTTGAAATATTAAAAATACCTTATATTTTTGCACATCCAACCCTTTAAAAATTCTTTAAATTTTTTAATGGAAGGAGTATATACTTATTCCAATTAAATCATAACATGTGAATTTTAATATGTTAATTAAATTATAACAAGAATTTATTATAGACTAAATATTAAGACTCAATATTAAAATTATCCTTAATTTATTAAGTATATTATTTAACCAAAAAAAAGTATATTAAGACTAAGACTAAGACTAAGTATTAAAATTAAATTAAAAAATGAGAAAATTTGCTCAATGGCCTCAAAAAATACAACTTCTATAAATTATGGAAGAAGTTTTTGAATATTTTGGAATATGACCCATTCAAAAATAAATTAGATGTGTTTTTACTCCTTTGTCTTCAAATCTGTTCGGTTATTTTTAATAACTGATGTTATTTTTATATAATTTTCTTTGATTTTATTTCTTTATCTAGACGGTTATTTTCACCATCTTCATCAGGGATTGCAAAACGTATCTTATCGTACAGTGCTTGCCTCTCTCTGTTTATCTTCTGTGTTTTTTCCAGACATTGTCATCACATTGAACAGGAAACTGTATTATCGAATAGAAATTGTCTTGTATTCATTTTTCTAGAGGTTGAAGAGAATCATCCATAATCAAATTTCCATCATCTTCATATATTTAGGTAATATATCCATTGAATCAGTAAATCATCTGTTCCTAATCTATTTTTTGTTGTCATTGATCATGTAATATGCTCGAATTTCAAACACAAAACATATTATCTTCTCATTGTTCATGATTTTTTATTTTTTATTTTGAGTATTTGATTTTCTATGATCAGCTAAGGCGTCTGTAATTTTTTTCGAATCTAGTTTGATCTGATTTGGGTGAAGGAATATGGCATTTTCATGTTTCTAATTAACGTTAGTATATCATTGATATACTATAGTATCTCATTGATGACGTTTTCGTGTTTCTAATTAACGTTAGTATATCATTGATATACTATAGTATCTCATTGATAAGTAATATCAGTGATAACTTACCAACACTATGTCATCTTGTAGATATGGATATGCTTAATGTCATAATTTCTTATGATGAAAAATAAAATTTGAACAACCGTTACTTCAATACAGGGTAGGGTGTTTTCAGCTCTGAATAATAGAAAAATCAAGAGGTCTAAGCATATGATATATAGCCCTACATCAAGGATTCTGTGAAAATACCTGGTGAAGCAGGATGATTTTTCCTCTTTGGCGCCATTGACAGAATATCTGCAAAATCCTCGCTTAAACTCTGGCTTGAGTAACATAGTGTCACCGGACTTCCTCACCCTAAAGCTGTAGCAGTAGTTATTTCTCATCTTAGCAACATTTTTGATTTTTGACACCGAATTTGTAGCAGCAAGTCTGCCTTGCTTCACCTTGCCTTGCGTTCGTGTGTTTTCCCAAATGAATGCAGAGCTTCAGTCTGCCTCACCTAGCACTTGTGTGGTGTCCTTGCTAAATCTTTAACTTCGTTTGTCCATCGACGACAGCTATTTCGTTGCCTGTTGTCAATTTCTTCGCCTATAGTCCAAACGCATAGCACTGCCTCCAGGTCTTCGTGTGGTGCAAGCGAAATGCTGTCTCCAGGTCTCCAAGTTTTCGGTTTGAGAAAGGCAATTAAGCTATTGTAGTCTTTAAGGATTATTTCGTCTTTTGGTCTTGAGGGAAATTAATAGATCGGCCATTCTCTTAATTTAGAAAATGATGAGTTATTAGTTTTATTTAGCTATATAATATTGGTTAAATATGCTAAAGCCCCTTAAAAAATCCACACATATCTTAATTTAATTAAAAACAAACACATTAAGTATATAAGATTAATTATATAAGTTTTTTAAAATATCATTAATCTTTTCTAAAATTATTCTCTTTAACAATTTGCCGTCATCATCTTCAAATTAAATTAACTTTTAAGATGATTCTATGCTGAATGGTCAGAACAAGTGGTATGTTTTCCGGATCTGGTCATGTGAAACTCGGCCATCAACAAAATGAAGGTCTTGTTTTGGTTATTATAAAGAAATAAAATGAAATTGATTGAAAAAATAAAAATAAAAATAAAAATAAAAATGAGATGATTAAAAAAAATATTGAACCACAGCTATAAAAGAGATAGCTAATTTAGTCTATGAGATTGAGAATAATGATTTATTAAGATTTTTAAAAGGTGTGATAATTTTTACATCTGTAGTCTATATTAATAAGTTTTAAGAAAAATATTTTTTTATCCCTACATTTTACTCATATTTTGTGATATATTTCTATATTTTTTTTCGGTGTTTTGAGTCCTTGCACTTTTATTTTTTAATATTATAAGTTCTTAAATGAACAAAATGAACAAAGTATAAGGATCTTGAATGAACATAAAATATTCAAAAATAAAAATGTAAAAATTCAAAACACAAAAAAAAGTGCAACCTGTAACAAAACTCCAGCAAAGTTCAAAGACTAAATATATGTTTTTCCTAAGTTTTATCATACTTATTAAAAAAAAAAAAGAATGATTTAATTTTATTTTTATATAAATTTTTTTAACTCATTGTATTTCATTTTTTCCTAAAAACTAAAGGGGACCGAAGGTCTTCTCCAGCTAAGGCAAGGAATCGGTTAAAAAAAAAAAAAAATTCAATTTTCCAGCTTAGTTCGAAAATTTTCTTGGCAATCCAATACGGTTACACAAACAAATACAACGTGTAGAAATACGTACAAGGACAAGCCGTAGAAATACGCGAGACGGGAAAGTAAAGCCCTTTTGTTTTCCATTACATTACCTTTTAGCTCACACTTCCCTTCTGGCTTTTCCCCAAATCATAAAGCTCTTTTCCTTTCACTTGCGCCCTTTCTCCTCTGCGCTTTCCTATGTTCTTTTACGATCTTCTCCATTATTAGGGTTTTGAAATGTGGGGGGAGAATGGAGTCTTCTGAACCCGAATCAACGGAAGTTTCGAATTCTAACGATAACCCAGAATTGGGCTTTCGCTCGGCCTCGTCTTTCCCTAGTTCCAATCATGCTTCGGAAACATCAGATCTTAATCATCAGGCTGAGGTAGATGCACTTCATGAGGAGTTTCAGAGCAAGTTGATTTTGAAGGATAAGGATGAACAGAGCGAGATTGTGGACAAAGATGGTAAATTGGATGGTGGTGAGGAGATGTGTCATAAACACGGTGCTGGGGAATCTTACGAGGTAGATGGGTGGGGTGAATATAACGATAATTGGAATGGAATTGAGGACAATAATTGGACTACGAATGTGAACGGGAATGGGAATGATGAGGAAGGTGGAGATTATGATCTTGCTGTCCATGAAGAGGAGAGAAAAGAAGAGAGAAGCGGTGGTAGCAACCACCAGTACCCGGTGAGGCCCGAAGCAGAAGATTGTGCATTCTATCTTAAGACTGGAACTTGCAAGTTTGGATTCAATTGCAAATTTAACCACCCTGTTACCAGGAGGAAAAATCAGGTATTACTGTCTTCCGTTTGTCTGCATATAAGTATATCTCTGTGGGTATTACATTTTGAAAATGTACCATATAATTCACTTGTGCTGACGAAATCTGAGCATCAAATTTCTCGTGTGTTTCTACAAGCATTGCAATTAGTGAATTGTTGGCTTTAGGAGGCCATTTTGATTTTGCTGAATTGAAGGGACTAATAATTATTTTTAGTAGCTTCCTGTTATTTTTGAAGAACCAGTTGGGTATCATGTTTTTAAAATTTCAATCGAAGTTTCTTTCTCCTTTATAGCTTTGATTAGTTACTTCTGCAAGGTTTAAACATTTTCCCTGTTTCAGTGGGTTACAGAATGTGGCATTCTCTATTTATTTGGGAGAAAAAAAGACATTATCTTTAAAAAGATTGGGTGTTGATCATTGAGATTCAATAACAGAATTCCTTGATATTCAATAATATTCACTATGTTTTAACTCAATTGAAGGCCGGTAAAGAGAAGGCAGGAGAGAGAGAAGAATCAGCAGATAGATTGGCGCAGGCAGAATGCAAGGTTATTTTCAAACTATTTTCTTATCATGCTAATGTTCATATTGCATTATCTCATTGTAATATCAATTTGGCTTTCATGGTGATCATGTATAGCAAGTGTAATAAGATTTGTTCCCGCTGTAATATGTGCATAACATGTGTGAGGTTAACTCAAGGAGGATCAACCTAACATGTAATTAGTATTGGTCATTCCCCTGTGATATTTTACATGTTAAATTTTGGAAAAACATACCTTTTGGTCCCTGCACAATGCTGGTGTTTTGCTATAGGTTTTGCACTTTTGCTTCAGTGCTTTGGGTCCCTACACTTTCATTTTCCAGCGTTTTATGTTCATCCAAGGTCCTTACACTTTGTTTATTTTGTTTATTTAGGGACCTAGAATACTAAAAAATAAAAGTGTAGGGACCCAGAACATGGAAAAAAAAGTGCAGGGATCTATAATAAAATACGAGCAAAGTGCAGGGACTAAAAAGTATGTTTTCCCTTAAATTTTTTTGTGTTGTCATATCATCTACCACCCAAGACTCTGTAAAGAGAGAGTTTTCTGTCACTATGATTCCTTTATCATTCAGGGACCTCATTTCAGTGGTTTTACATTTTTAGTCATTGCGAGCCTCATGCCGGCATACTAATGATAATGATGCAAATAATAAGAATAATGACTCTCATTTGGACTGATAATAATAAATATTAATAACAATTAACTTAACCAAACTTTGGTAGACAATTTTCTGCATATCTATGGCTAAATGGATGGATAGATGAAAGGATAACTAAATAAAGTCTTCTACAAATTTGCATCAGTTTTTCAAAAATCACTAACCTCTGAAACCGTTGTGTTGGGAGGGGTGTTTATATCCGTTGATTATTTCTATTTCTTTCTTGAGACAATCATGCTAACAGCAATTTTTTTTTCTCATTTGATTTTATGACAGTATTATCTATCTTCAGGAGGTTGCAAGTTTGGAAAAGCTTGTAAATATAACCATTCAAGAGGAACGTGTTCAGTAGCCACAGTTCTAGAGCTTAATTTTCTTGGTCTGCCTATTCGTCTGGTATAATCTCAATATCTTTTTTTATCTATTATTTATGATTAAACTTGTTTGCTTTTGTTGTTTAATATATATTTATATATATATGATATCATTTACCTCTTTTTGCTATTTTTTAGACTACTTATTCCCGGAGATTTGAATAAGTTTATTATTTACAATAGGGAGAGAAAGAGTGCCCTTATTACATGCGTACTGGCTCTTGTAAGTTTGGAGCAAACTGCAAATTTAATCATCCAGATCCTACTGCTGTCGGAGGAGGTGATCTTGCTGCAAGATATGTTAATGGTGGGTCGATATCGTTACAAGGTGTCTCACAGCCATCTTTGCCCTCCTGGTCTTCTCCAAGAACATTAAATGAAACTACTGCTTTTATGCCAATGATGTTGTCACCTACTCAAGGGGTTTCTCCCCAAAGTTCTGAATGGAATGTGTATCAGGTACATCATTACCCATAACCATCCAGCAAGGGACTTATAATATATCATTATTATATTAGATGGATCTTTGGTTTGCTTATTTTCCACGTGCATTGCTATTGAGATGATCACTATAGCTTCAGTATATAAGCTGTAGTCTTATTCTATGTGCTTCCATGCATTTCCATTCTATTCACAAGCAGTACACCTGTACTATTCTGCCTATTGAACTTTTGAAGTGTTTGCTTACTCCTTTTTGTCCCATCTGTGGTTTTGTATAAAGGCACCTGTGTACCTACCTGAGGGGAGTATGCGTCCACCTTCAGCATATGTTATGAACAACCCAGCGATTGAGAAAACTATTTATATGCATCATCAAAAGAAGACGCAGGTTGAAGAGTTTCCTGAAAGACCTGGGGAACCTGAATGCAGTTACTTCTTAAAAACTGGGGATTGCAAGTTCAAATCTAATTGTAAATTTCACCATCCAAGGAATAGGATTACAAAGTTACCTTCTACATGCGCCCTCAGTGACAAGGGTCTTCCTTTGAGACCTGTAAGTTCACATCCTGCTATTCCTTGTTCATATTTGAATTTCATAAGCTTTGAAGCTTTTTCTTCGCTAAAGTGAATTAACGTGCACATTGAGCAGAAATATTTAAACAAGTTATCAAGACTATGCTGTTCTGACCTATTCCCAATTCTCTTTCCTGCAATTTTTCCTACTTGCAAGAAGTTGAAAGAAGTTCCTTCCCTGGAAACATAGAATTTGATTGTGAAATTATCATGATTGTTGTAATTAATTTCTTTGGAAATTTAAGAATTGATTCTTAACTCATGAAATGAAGTTGATTGTGAAAGAAATAAGTTTTGCGATGGTTGAGAATATGCTTTGACTGAAATTTTGTATCATAACTTCATAAATTATGTAAAAGACTCGGGAACAGTTCCTTTGGTAGTTATTATCAAGTTTTCTACGTCAACATTGGGAAGAACGCAACCCCCTCCCCCCCAACCCCCCAAAAAAAATGTAGTATTGAGTTGAAAAAAATTTACCCATGCATCTTTTTGTTTAAAAACCTGACTACTGGTGTTAAAAACTGTAACTCAGTTTTTTCTTTGATTTATTGCTAACCCAAACAAGTTGAGACTAAGCTCTTGAAAGAAGCCATTTTTTGGCTTGTAAATGCCTTGTAAAACAGAGGTGTAAAGATGTGTCGTTTTTATCCAAGAACTACATATCCATGTCAAGTATAAAAAGCATAGGTAGCGACACTTTTCACAAGCCGTAAATAGTGTGCCTTATTCCACATCCTCTCTTAATTTCCATAATTCCAAAGTTCAAAGAATCTTTTAGTTAACACATGGTTGTGCTATTCTAAATGCTGTAGCATTAAATTAGAATGATAACGTTACTTAGAGGTGCTTGTGTTTCTGATTTTGGGAGTACAAAAAGACCTTCAGTTTGATTTTTCATATGGAGCTTGAAAGTTCTCTCATGGTAGCATCATATTTGTGGTAAAATGCAGGACCAGAATGTCTGCACGCATTACAGTCGCTACGGAATCTGCAAATTTGGACCAGCTTGTAAGTTTGACCACCCAATAAACCCATCGCCCTCTACAGGGTCTCCGTTTGATCAGCAATCGTCCTACTCAGACTCTGCTAGAGTTGAAGTGGCTGAAAATGGAGGGGCAACTGGGCAAATAATGCAATAATTTAGCGGTCTAAACATTTAAAGTCAGGAGCCTTCTTAGCCTTGAGGATACGTTTGATCCAGAATTTGTAATTTTCTTCTTAACATAAATTATTTGACTTGTTTTTTTGGGTCCTGCTTAATGGCACAAGCATTGCAGAGAATGTCAATGTACATGTTAAACAGTTGTTTTGTTACAGCTAATATTAACTTTTGTAGATTATCCTCTATTTCTGTGGGTTTTTGTTAACCAGGATCAGGGTTGGGGCTGATATTAATAGGTGTGAATGTGGATTTTCTTGTCTCTGCATTTTAGCTGCTAATGGAGTATAATATTATCTCTAGATCACAATATAAAGTATTTTTTAGAAGCCTTGTTTGGTTCAAAACATAGGATGTTGGATAATTTTTATAATTGTTTTTCTAATTATATTTTTATTTTATTTATTACTCTTTGAAAAAAGGAAATTACACACAAGTCTTATTAAAGACAATTACTTGTAGATGCATTAACAATTGTGTTTATAGGAGAATGACAACATAGTATAGCTGTTCATGGAGTATAATATTTATTTTGAACTACAATATAAGGTATCTTTTAGGAGTGTGCTTGATTCAAAATAGAGGGTATTGAATAATTTTTATAATTGTTTTTTTAATAATATCTTTATTTCATTTATTGCTCTTTGAAAAAAGAGAATTACACACAAGTTTCACTAAAAACAATTAATTACTTTTAGGTTCATAATGTGTTGCAATTCTCTTAAGTTCAATTGTTAATGTACTTAGGAGTAATTAATTATTTTGATTGAGATCTTGAAGTAATTCATCCTTAAAAATATGATGCATTAAAATTTTAATTATCATTATCAAAGTACTTATATCAAGCAATTAATGAGAGTAAAATTGAAAAATCTTAATTGTTTTTAAAAAATTAAGATTTTTTATAAACCGTAAATTAATTATAAATATCTAACATTTTGATTCGGAGGGAGCAATTTCGGAGATGTTTAGGTTCCCTATAACAATTAAGTATCAAAAGTTTCGTTGACTATTAAACACGGCAAACTAACAACTATTTTAGTTGTCATTTTGATATGTTCATTTATCAATAAATCTTGTAATAATTAATTGTGTTATAAAAAATTTAGGTATAATTCTCCCTAACTCGAAAGTCATAATGGTACAAAGGAAAGGGCAAAATGATTTTTTACAGGATTCTTGCAAACTGAAACGGAAATGGAAAGAGTAATATATGCTCTTACTCTTAAAATATTTAAAACAAATCGAAATTGCTGATCAATATTAATTATACGAATATCATACATACATAAACAAATTTTTCTCTTTTTTAACCAGCATTGAGACAGGGCTTAATATTTTTTAATCAATTCATTGATTACTATTAATTTTTACACCAAGGGTTAATACTCATTTGCACATTATAATTTGGTGATGGCGAGTTATTCAAACTCAAAATTTGATACTTAATAACCTTTAGGTATACTATTATAAAATTTGATTTTCATTGATTAAATTCATTTGGGTATTAACTATGTTGATTTTTCATGTTTTTCCATTGACGAGGCAACGAAATTTTAAATAAATTGGTGTCATTGTATCAACACATTCTTCAATAAGAACTGTTAACCCAATGCTAATTTTTTTAAACATATAATGAAAGCAACTTGATCTAATGTGATTCTAGAAAGCAATAGCCATCAATCCCTTCTCACACGAGTTATATGCAAAGAGAAATAATGCAGCCAGGTCTCATCAAACTAAAAGAATCCGAAGCCAACTGCGCCTTTTAAAACTGTGGAATAATACAAAATCCCCTTACACACCTCGTTATATGAAATGTTGGTCTTTTAATCTTACACTAAATGAATGGTCAAAGTCTCATTTTAAGACTGATCATGTAAGATGAATCTCCACATTCTCGCAGAAAAAGAAACAAAAATGTAAAGTTTTCACCTTGTTCGAAGACAAAAGCTACGGTCAACGAAAAGACAAGGCAAGCAACAGTGGTCACAAATCACAAACACTCACATTTCAATTAACTAAGGTCGTGCCCACTGGCCACCACTTTCACTTCTTTCTCATGTGTTAGTTCACAAACGTCAAGAAGGTGGAAATAAATAACCCATGATCAACAGAATTAAATAATAATGGAAGAACTAGTTGGTTTTGTTTTTGCTTGTCCAGGATTCACTCCCAATCAGTCTACGGGGGTATATTTCTTCACCGCATATCACTTTATAAGAAAACTCTATACTACGCCACAGCAAAGCCACTTTCTCTGCATTAACAATCAAAATATTAAATAAAGCTCAGACACAGATTGAACAAACTGAAGGAGAAATTTCATAATTCAGATCGTGTGGCGGATGCAAATAAATCAGCTTAGTATATCAAGACCTAAACACTGCAAGGGAAATTTGTGTCAACGTTTAAATTTACCTTCTTCGGAATTTGATCCTTCTCGTCCATATCGTCAGTATCAGATTTCCGTGGGGTTACAACGGTCACTGCGGTACCGTTGGTTTTCTTCTCGTTTCTGGCCTTGTTAAATATAACGGTGAATCCTTCTGATGTGGCAGGGTTGTTCACGTCCCATTCACCAAATTTTGGCAATGGCCGACCTTTATCCTAAGTAAAGGTTCAACACTTGAGACAAAAATGTGCAAAATCTTGAAAGACATTGTGCAAAACTTGTCCCAACTTTATATCTCAAATCTATAAAATTGACAATTCACTTCTATGCGATATCAACTTTTTCTCTTCTTTTTTGTTTTTAAGACAAAAGCTATTGATTGTCCAACTCTAAATAAAAGTTGATAGCAGAAGTAAAACAAAAACCATCTCATACATTTAGAACTAGAAATTGATTTTGTCATGTAGACACTAGTTGTTGGTTTTTAACACATCAATTTAATTTTATTTTCAAAGATTCTGTAGAGTGGACTTAATAAAAAGAGGAAAAATATATACCTCATACGTATATATCTTCTATTTTTCCCCTCTTTCAACTCTATAAAAACTTTACAATAAAAAATTCTAAGATGTTTTTACTGTTCACTTTCACTGACTTCGTTCTTCATCTCAAAAAGCAATGAAACGTTGTGAAGGGAACTTAAACTTCAAACATAAAAAATGGCGACAAATGTATTGAACATGCTCAACTTTAAATCATGCATAAATAATCCTCATATTTAAACTTTGACAATGAACCTCCAAATCTTCAAACCCGGGGTTATACACATGTAATCACCTATTATTAATTAATATATTATTAGTTTTCATAAAAACATGAAGTTTAGGAGATTTCAGATTTTATAACAAAATGTTTAAGCTGAGATGTCATCTTTTAGTACTGAATTGACAGACTAATTAACAATGAAGGTCATTCAAATAAATATAATATCAAATGAAAAAGAGACCTGAAAAGACCCTTATCCATGGGAATGAAGAACAAAAGGCCTAATGGCAAGTCAATTCTCCCCAAGAATTCTAAGAATTCCTAAAATAGTTTAACTGTAATTTCCAAGAATTCGAAAAAAACAGCTTCATGTAGCGAAAATTCATTATATCACCTGCACAAATTAAGATTTTACGAACAATTGATAACCTGATTATGAATTTTACTTACGCGTGTCATCAAGGTGATCCTCCGGAACAACAAAAAGAACTCAGCCTTGTCGATGAACTAACATGTATTAAGCAGTCGACATTTTTTCTTTTCGAATACACTGATATAATCAAATACAGGAAAAATTGAAAAAATTTACCGAAGCCATAGATGAGAATCGCGGGGCTTCCAATCCAGGGATCGGGAAAGTCGGTGGAGATCGGGAGAAAACGATGCAAACGCCAACTGTTATATGCGTTGGAGAGAGAGGGCAGTGCCAGAAAAATAAGGAAACAAAAGAAGAAACTGTTAGCATCGAGGGGCACGCTTTGTCTGCAGATTGAAACCGTTTTTGTTTCCCGCGTTCTGGCGCTATGTTTTTCGGTTAAGAAATCAATTACATTCGGTCCATCAGATTGAAGTTTATAACGACATTATTAACTATATTTTTCTGGGAAAGTCGCATCAAAATTCAAAACAACGAATTTTAAAATCTTATGATAGAAGAAATGAGCTTTTTCCTTTTCTTTTACCACCTGAAGAAATGAATTAAATAATTTAAAATCTGTTAATAAAAAATATATTTTTTTAAACTAAGGAATGAATAAAAGAACTTTAAAAATTACTTGTAACTTCTGAAGATTTTTTGATGATGAATTCAATATATATATATATATATATACACAATTTAATTTGTGCATTCTCTGCCAAAATAGAGAATTCAAAAAAAAAAATTTATGGCCTAATAGTAATATATTTGACCACCTATCGAAACATCTAAATTGTAATTTTGAATAAAAATAAATAATTTCGTCTATTCATGACACCCTCATGTAAAGCAGATAAGAATTTAACACAACTTCAGAAATTCTTGCAATTCGAACGATATGAATTCCTCCTGTAAAATGATATAATTTGAAACTTTAAAAAAATAGTTTTATTTCTTTTACTCTCAAGTTCAAATAATAACTTTTCCACATATCACCTCCTCGCAAATATACTAGAGGATGACTTTGAAAAATTGTAAAACATATATATATATATATACACACAACAAATTTGTTTAATCTCGGGAAGATAGTTAACCAGGTTTTATGAAAGAATAGGAGGGAGTATTATTAAATTTATATATATGTGAGAGAGAGAGAGACGTAGATAATAATTTAATTTGTAGCTGTAAATTTATTGGAACTAGTTAGGCTTATAATATTTGATTAAAAGTTAATTAACAATTTGAATTCAGCATGCAGCTTGAATCAACTCATTTAATAAGTATCTCAATTACAATCATTAAAATTTTTCAGTATTTAAAAATTATTAACAAATATATCATTCCCTCCAAAAATTTAAGGTTGTGTTTGGATGGATGAATTTAAATTGAACATTTAAATTCAAAATCTCATATTTAAAATTTCACATTTAAAATTCATAAATTTTAAATTCTTTATTTAGATGATATAAAAAATTTTAAATTACAATATTAAAATATTTTATTTGAATTTAAAGTAAAATTTTAAATTCTATATTTAAATTTAAAAAAAACTTAAAAAATTGGTCAAACTTAACGATTTGAATAGCCAACTTCAATAGGATCAGACAAATAAAGCTCACTAGGACTGTGGCACTAGGGATGATTGGAACGAGACCTCTAACTTCCATTGAAACTGGACCGACAACTACAATAGGGATAGGACGACCGACTACCACTAGGAATGGACTGACAACAACAACGAAGATCAAATAGCCTACTTCCATTAGGACCAAATTGATGGCTACAACAAGGATCAAATAGTTAACGAGGATTTAATCCCGATGAAAGTCAATCATCTGGTCTCATTTGTCGCAATTAGTTCAGTCCCGGTTGTCGTTGTTAATTCGATCCTGGTGAAAGTCAAATGTCTGGTCCTGATCATCATCGTCGATTCGTCTCGATAGAAATCAGCTATCCAATCCCAATTGTTGCCATCAATCCAATCCTAATGAAAGTTTGCTGTCCCATCCTTGTCATTGGTGGCAACTTGTTTTCAATAACTTTGACAGTTCAATTCAATTACCGTTAGTAAGTCAATCAAGCCTTTATGCATTTAAGTTAAATTACAAAAAAAGCTTGAGTTAAAATTTGAAATAATAGAAGTTCAGCAAACAATTTAAATTACAAAAAAGATTAAGGAGAACACTCAAATTTAAATTCATACATTTTTTATTTTTCAAACAATGAATTTAATTCAAATTCAAATCCAAATTCATGTGTGAAAATACAGCATAAAATTAAGTACTTTTTTAAGTTTTACATAACAAAATCCCTTCAATCATTGTTATCATGCCATGTGAAACTTATTAAATGAATAAACTTAGACCACTCATCGAATCCAAATCTAACTTCAAAAGATGAGTTGGATTAAATTTAAACTTACCATCAACTTCATGTTCGAGATTTAAGTGCATATCTACGTAAATTCTCATTTGGTTCCTCCCTTGTACGTACACTTCACAAGTAATGTTCAAACTCCAGGCATACATTAACCAAGGTCCTTCCTTGTCTTCGATATAATTTACAACCTTATCAAAGATGCCCACTTTCCATCGGTGCTTTTTACATGCAGAGAGGATATTTTGAAAAATAATAAATCAGTTTCATTTGAGTTTTCCCATCCAAGCTTGTAGATTTTTCCCTGGTGGATTGCAAGATTAGGTGGAGCTGTAATAAGATAGTTCTCTACTTGTGTTGTCTAAGGTGACACACGGGGAAAAAGTTGGGGGGGGGGGGGTTGTCATGACTAGCTCAAATAGTTCAATTTTACAAGCTCAAGTCTATGATCACTCTCACCCTCTTCTCAACCCTAATAATTTGGACAAATTAACTAACGGGTCAAGATATGCGACATTACAATGGAAAACCAAGCAAAACTAATACAAAGAAAGACCTAATACAAATTCCTACAATAAATATACAATCATAACTGCAATCAGAAAAGTCAGTGTGTATGCAAAACAACATGCACTCCAATTAGGCAATCAGACACCCTACTAGCCTAAACAGTTTCAGAGGGCACACAAGTTAGGTCTCAACATTAGCCTTGTTGCCAGAAAGGATAAGGGAAATTTCCAGACCACGGCTAAATGCTTGATTAAAGAGAAGGCGAGATTGAAAGGTGGAAATGAATGGGAACCATGACAAAAACGCTATGGGCGCAAATATAATCATACCCATCCCAGCATCATACAGTCTAGCAAATTCACGCACTGATTCCCACAAGCCAAGACTCCAAACTATCTTCCTCCATGTAATAGCCACCTGCAAGAAAAGTGAAATAGATTATAATATATAACATACTTTCTTCCACGTCAGGCCAAATTTGGGAGAATTAAACGTCAGAATTGACAAGTACTAAATCTCAAGACTCGATTAATATGATATCGATAGTGCAGGGGAAGATATGAACAGATTCTAAATGCACCCAGCAACAAGACCATATATACTTCGAGTTGTGTACAGAATAAAAACTGATCATTGATATGATATGCATAATCATGCATTGACTTTCAGTGATGCATGCGTTCTCTTAAAAATCAAATAAAACAGTTGCTCATGGACTCCTGACTCTATTTTGAACTCTAGTCTCAGACACTTCTCCTCAAGGCACCACAACTTGATACAAATTACTAAAATTACTTGTCCTTTTGTTAGCGGTTGCATGCCGTTAGCCTAACATAGGTTCGACTCACAGGAAGATTGAGTGGGACCTAGATGTCACATCAAATGCATTTGATAGCAACAATGAAGCAAGAGTTGAACTTACGGATAGTATTGCCCATCCAGTAGGGATAAATGCAAGGATGCTAGCAAAAAGGTCAGCTATTGAGAGATTGGTAAAAGCAACAACAAGGCACACGGCGGCAACAAATCCTAATGCAGCAACTCCCTGTGTAAATCGCATCACTAACTGAAAGTCGGATGATTTCTTTGGGCTGTAGGTAAAGATCTGCAGGGAACAGAATATTAGAAGAGCAAGAAATGGGACAAAAAGTTTTAGGGAAAACAGAGCAAGATAGGTGTGATCCAGTGAAAAAACATGTAAAAAAGATATCGAAGTACTTGACAAAGAAAAGGAATTGAATAGATTAGGCAACTAGTTCGAACCTTAAATATCAAGACTAAGCCAACCAGGACGACCCAGGAGAATCCATAAACCTATGAAACAGTCAATCATCAGAACCCATAAAGAAGAAATTTTTACATGAGCATTATTTAAAATATTAAATAAGCCTTCTTATATGATTACAATATAATTAGTATTAGTAGTTAAAGAATTTCATATTACGCTTCACATTAAACTCCTAGAACTGACATGAAGTGGTAATAAAAATTTAATCCATGGAGGAAGAGAAGAAAGTTTACCGCAAGTGATGTATCTGCTCCTGTAAGGTGTAGCTTATACACTATACCATACTGAAATACGAAAAACCTCAAACTCAAAATAGTCTCCAATATACGGCCCCTCAAAGTGTGGATATGCATCTGCAGGAACGGTGGCCATCATTAGACATAACAAGAAAGATGATGACAAAAAAGGCAATTCTAACATGGCATACATGCCAATAAAGAGAAATACAACAATCAATTTAATCAAATTTTATTAGAAATGAGGTAACATATAGGTTGTGATGAATCAGATCAAGACAAGTCGAGATAAGAACATGTGAATTTAACAAGACCCCATGTCACCGTCAAAACTTACAAAGAGAGACATAAAAAGAATGGCAAAATGGCAGAAAAGATGGGCCAAAATACATTGGGTAAGGACCAGATGTGACACAAAAGTAGGGGAGTATATCTAGGTAGTGTTTTAGTATGGGTAATGGCTACTTTTTGGCTCTTTAAAATCTATATGTTTGTATAAAAGGAGGGGGGAGTCTTTTGAATATTGAGATTGGTGGGAAGAATTCTGGCCTCTTGAATGCTAGGTTGGGGTGGAGGAAGATCATCTTTCTTCATCATTTTATCTTTATGCTTAGTGTGTTTTTGTGATTAGCTTATATTTGTATGTTCTTGGGTGTATTTTGTGCTGTTTCTCTGTAACGGTAATTTAAGTGTCTGAGTGAGATGAGATTAGCTTGAATCATTGTTCCCCTTGTATTCCAACTCAAATATTCAGCAATAGTATTTTCAGTCCCATTTGAAGGGTGTTTTTCTAGTTCTTGCTTGTTTTAAGCTTAATAAGGTAGAGGGTTCAATCAGAATTCTTTTATCTGCAATATAGATTAATATAGAATCAGTTATGAGTTTTATGCTAGTAAAATATTTTAACAGGAGATAAATTCAGTTAGTAAAGTTGTTTAGTTAGACTGGAAAAAGTTGTTTCAGATTATTTAGAAAAATCGAAATA